CACCTACTTTTTGATTTTCTAACGTTTCGCGGCCGTTACCTAGGGCATTACGTCACGCTACCCCCCCCCCCCCCCGTCCATTGTCTCCGCACCCACATTCCTCACTCCTGAACTCAGCCGGTAAACCCTGAGTGGCCGTCCAGCTCAATAGACACCCGCAGTGTCCACGGGGATTTCCCTCCCACCTCCTCGTCTGCACTGCCCGCGTAATCTTTTACCCTGGCCGCTCCCCCGTGCTGTGAGCGTCTCACTGTGGGTAGCCCGGTGAGCTTCTGTGCACCCAGATAATGTTAAGCCAATTTAAGGGGGGCCGCAATTTAATTTGGCCTGGGGGGGGCAGGGGTCGGCCAATCTCCTGGCACCGGGAAACCGTTGGACATCCCCGCTAGGGGCCCGTCGGGTGAAAACCCATGGTGCCAAGCGATCCCCCACCGGGACCCTACGTGTGTGCGTGTGCCCGGCGTGTGTGTGCGTGTGCCCGGCGTGTGTGTGCGTTCGGGGTCGCGGCGCTTGCGGAGTGGCTTCGCAGTCATGGCACCACATTCTCTTTCAAGCGAGGCAGAACAAATATTGACGAATAAGTGTTAGTGAGCATAGATAGTAGAGGCAAGTTGGTTGGGATTTTCCACTCCTCAATGCCCCCCTAGTCTTTATAGTCTTTATAAATGGTAGTGAAGTCCTATCGTTAATTTTCTGCCTTACTCTCTTTCTTAGAAACCACTCCAATAATGACTGATCTTTACTCCGAGACCAGAGGGAGACTCGTTGGGCCAAATTAATATCTAATGCACCGCTCAAGCCCTTTACCAAGCTAATATTCAGGACCAACCCCCTAAAATCTTAGACATACAAAGTAAATTGATTGGTATCAAAGACCAAAAAAACCTCACACGGTTCTCATTTATGCTCTACTAAATACCCGGACACCAGGAATGGCATAAGTTGGAAAACATTCTTGGTTATTATCCCATCTAAATCACAACTTGATGCTAAACTGTTGATTCTGCATGACTTCACTTGTGATTGTATTTGGCACATATCCTTGTCTGTTTACATCATAGTACAATAATCACTCAAATCTATTTTAATGTTCTTTAACTTATTTTTACGATTACACGTTTTTAAAAAGTAATTTGTCCAAGTTAATTTTAATTCCAGGTAATGTACTTTAATATTGGTTTGTGAGCTCATGCAGTAAGGTTTAATTTATTCTCGACCATGGTTGTTTTTGCACTGATTTCTATTTGATTCATTGTTGTACTTAATTTTGTGATTGCTTTTGTCCTTTCCATGACCCACGACCCTAAGGTGCTACCCAGGTCACTCGTGCAAATAAGACGACCCTGCTCTTTTGCCTTCTCACATGATAAACAAAATACATTTGGAGCTTGGATTGTCTGACATGTATCACACGTCTTGTTTCAGACACATCGAACCTATCTTACTTCCTTGCAGTAGATTTCTGAAGGAAAAAAAAATCACTTTTCATTCAGAAAGCATCGAATTACATCTCAATTAAAGCATTTATATCTGAAGACGAATAGTGTTGTTGTATAACGACTGATAGCGGACCCTGTTGCTGTTTTTCTATTTTTATTTTACCCCTGCCATCTCTGCTTTGCATAATTCCATCAATGTCATAACATAAAGGACAATACTCTAACACTCGTGTCTGATCATTTCCTCCATTCCCTGCGTTAGTCAACGAGCTATCTTTGTATTTTATTGGATGATCTCACTCGGTTGTACAATCCAACCCTGAGTGATATTCTGGATTCCTTGGCCTCCTCCCCTTAAACAAAGAGGATTTCGAACGGCCCTCAATCAAGACAACAGTGCGTAAAGCTGAGCAACACTTGGAGAAAACCAGGCCTTGCTGTGTGCATCGGCGCACTTTCGGAGCGCAACAAACTGGCTACCGACATGCTCTGGCTCAAGCCAGCTGAGTTGTTTTTCTAAACTCATTCCCAGTCGCCCCAACAATCCAGGATACTTTTTTTCTATTATTAGTCAGATGTTAAAACACCCTCCAAAAGCAAATACACTTGTCTCCATCGAACAATGTAACACACTGCTTGAGTTGTTATTCCTCGACACAATTAAAGCCACCCGTCATAATCTGCGTGTTATCCTTAAACAGAGCCGCCACCAATTCTGCCCTCCCTTGCAGGGCACTATCCTGGCTTGCTTCAATACATCCGATGTTACAGCTCTGGATGCTAAATCTCGACCCACCTTCTGCTCTCTGGACCCTTTTCCAGCCAAACTACTTCGTCGTAATTTCACCATGTTCTGTCTATTTGTTACCCACCTCTTGAACATACCACTCTGCTCTCGTTCAGTCCCCTCTCTTCAAACACGCTGTTGGCACCCCTCTCGTCAAGAAACCAGGGCTTGATTTTGAACGACCTAACAACTATCGCCCTTTACAAAACGATCTACCGATCTCCAGGACCCTTTCCAATCTGGTTTTTGGCCTGGGCACAGGACTGAGGCGGCCTTGGTGAAGATACTTAATGATGTATTGACTGCCACTGACAATGGGCTCACCCAGCATTCTTACTCTTAGGTTTTTCGGTAAAGTCACGTATAGGTAAAAAAAATAATAGAAATAATAATAGAAATAAAATAATAAATCACGACGTTTCGGAGGCAACACAAGTCTCCGTCATCAGGTGGGACAGTCACAGCCGGATTCACTGTCTCAAGTTCTGATGGGAACCGAGTGCTGATTTTGATACTATCGACCACGGTGTTCTTCCTTGAATGCTTGGGGAAAATAATGTGTATGGGGGTGAATGGTACCGCACTATGCTGGATAACATATAGATTGAATAGCAAGCAATTTAATAGCTTGGGCAGCTCTGAAGTCTGCAATAACAGTTTCATTTGTGTCCCCTAGGGCCCTGGGTTCTGCATATGCATGACCCTTCATCAATTAGATCTCAATTCTCACTGTTATGCCGATGACACTCAACTTTTACAGACACCGCAAATTTAATCTTTGAGAACACATCACCCCCTGAAGGAGATACTAGAATCCCAGCTCTCGCATCACTTCACTGTTTGCAGTGACATTCCGTATTGAATTCAAGGTCCCTACTTTTCTTCACATCCAAGGGCCCTAAATGATCTCGCACCTCCGTGTAGTTGAGAGATTGCTGCGCCCTACGGCCCAGCAAGAACTCTGAGCGAGGTTCTTCTGCATCCCCAGAAAGGGAGGGCTCAGTCCAAGGGTCGATCATCTGGGCCTTCGGCCTCCATGGCTCCTGAATTTCAAGTCCTGCCTAAAAAACTTCTTTTAGAAGGCATCTTTTCCTATTTTAACTCAAAACCACTACACACTCCTCCATTGTAATTGTACGTATACATGTTAAACTTCTTTCGCACCGTACACAGTAGCTATCCGTGCTAATCTGAGATGCGGGGGAAGGACAAACTAAACACAACAAGCAGCTCTAAAGAAATTCGTTTTCAACTAATCTGAAAAGCGCTACATAAGCTATAATTATTAGCAGTATCACTTGGACAGGAACAACGGGGTTGGCTTTCAACACCGCAGTCCAGCAGTAGAGACAGCATGGCCTCTGCTCGTCGTGTACCCGGCCCTTGTGTACCCCAGCCGTGCACTGCTGGCAATCCCGAGAAGGGTTCATCTCTCTCCGCACCCCACAGGCTGAGGCGGGTGGGGAGGGGTTTGTGTGTATTGGGGGAGGCGATTCCTCGATACAATCGGTCCGGCTGCTTTTGCACCTCGAGCTACGAAAGAGTTCAGATTCACCTTCAGTAGTAAGTTACCTCGCGGGGCTGGGTCTTTGTTCACCGAACGGTTCTACGGCACCGCGGTCTGTAACTCAGAATCGAGGTTAATTTATCTGAAGGCGGTTTCAGGTCGAGCTCCGCTTTCCTTACAGGGCCCGAGGGCCGTGTCACACGGAACATCCCCATGTCTCTCTCTCTCACCTGGGAAAACCCATGGCTAAGGTTTGCCTGCGAGGCTGCCGAGGATGAACACTTTCAAGGAGGGAAGTGCTGGCCCATCGAGTGCCAACTGTGGCCTTACGCCCGCGTGTGGTAGAGGATGAGCAGCTTCGTGGTCGTGGCATTACATTCAGGAGCAAAGTTCCATCCCTGGCAGGCTCTAGCGCCTTCAACTCGTGGTAGTCGCAGAGATGAGCTGCGGTCCAGGGCTGGTAGCCCCGTGCCTCTTCGGTGCGTGGCCCCCTGGTCCCGCCCGCCTCCTCCACTCCAGGTACCGGCTATCCCTGTCATGGCGTGCTACAAAGTCCCTGCGCATGAACGCAAGGTGGCAAGGTGGAGAGGTTTTTGCTCCGCGAGTGCCAGCGGTGTCGAGGCTAAACTCCACACACGCGGGGTTGGTGAGGGGGGGGGTCTTGGCTTCTTGTGGCAGCTTCCTGATTGTGGCACTGTGTGATCAACCGATACTTGGAAAAGGGTCTGCTGTCTCGTAGCAACTACAGCAGAGGTCGCAAACGGGTTTTGATTCCTTACCCATACCCGGCCGCACCAGGGTCGCAAACGGGTACCCTACCCGTACCCGGCTACCCGTACCCGGCTGGGTAACAGGTAGGGTACGGGTACCCGATTGCGACCTCTGGGATGAAGCCATGTTGCAGGCGCGGGTGGGTTGATTCTAGGAACTTCAATTGTGAGAAGAGACAAGACGTTGGGAAATGAGTGACAAACGGTGACTCACCAGTGACTCACGGCCTACCCGTACCCGGCCGCACCAGGGTCGCAAACGGGTACCCGTACCCGGCCGGGTACGGGTAGCCGGGTATCGGATAGAGTACGGGTATCGGGTACCCGATTGCGACCTCTGCACTACAGCCACCCAGCTACCATGCAAATAATGCATCACCAATGTTGAGTGAACTGACATGACAACGGTGGATACAATATTATGTTACAGTCACAGGAGCGACCTTATCGGGTTGACCCCAGTGCAGTACAACTATTGTGTTAAATGTGGGTGCAATACAGACTTAGAAAATCCATTGTTGTGTTAATGCATCGACAGTAACTTCATTCAGGTTGAACGCCAATACTTTTTAAAACACACTTGCTGAGCAGAGGCGCGCGAAGCCCCAAAATGTCAAGCGGCCAGCAAACCAGCAGCAGCTCCATGAAATGTTGTAACGGTAGGGAGTTGTACACGTTTATTGAATTGAGCGATGTCATAACGAGCTAAGGAAAAGAGACGATGGAAGTCCTGCCGTGGGGCAGGTGCGAGGGAAGAAGCAGGGTTGTGATCACGGCGCTGACGAGACGAAGAGTTCGGGAACAACAAAAACCAACACGTCAAGTCCCGATAACTCTTGTGGACCCGTATTTCCCTGTAGCACTGAGGTCTCTGTACAGGGGGAAGATAACGATTCACGTGGAAGGGGGACGCATCGTAACGCCGTGATAGTCTGCCATAAACATTAACGTGGCACTACAAGACAAATCACCCCGAGTTCAAAAACCATGTTTACTCTGTTAATTATTTCAAATGAGAAAAACACTCTGATATATAATTACACATACAGTGTTAATTTGTAAGTGGTGTGTAATAAGTTGAAGTTACTCAAGGAAAACAGAAATGGTACCCATTACTGTTATTTACGCAGGGCATGGGCACGGTTTATCCCGATTTAGAGCAGATGCCAAATCTTGCTCTCAATGGCATCTGTAATGCCAGAACCAAACTTAGTGTTTATCTCGTGCTGAGTGAGGGTCTTGCTGAGTTTACCGGGTTTGGCTCAGAGTTCAGCTAATTTTCACTGGGCAAGCATCACTCCGAAAATCACGGGAACAACATGTTCAACTCATACAGTGGGCAACACACCAGAACTGGAGTATAAAAATAAGTTTGTAGAAATTAAACAATATATACGTAATTTAAAATACTGGTACACTATAACATTTATGTCTTCATTATGAACAACAAATAATGCAGTTTCAATAAGGAATGCAATTAAACTTAATATGATATTGCCAAATCTGTACAATTAGTGTTTCCATGTTTAGGTTTTCCTGAAGAATACCAGGAACACTGGAAGATGTATCTTATATTGACCTAATGATTACACATTTTCACCTGGAGCTTCAAAGCTGCATGCTATACTGTTATTGGTCAACAATACTTACAAATAAAAATATCAACTTATTGCAACTTATACTGAAGGCATTTTCATTTGGTCTCCAGAGCCTTTCCAACAATATTTGCTTAAGTTTCTTAAATGAAAAAAAAAAACATTCGGAAGTGTGACACTCACGACCAATACAATTCATAATTACGTATCTTTCCAGCGAAGTGTCATTGCGAAGTCAAACTCTGGTGTGATTGCCTTTCTACAGACCGGATTTGCTGAAAATAATGCCAAATTGGACGTATTATGGTCATGTAAAAACTTGATGTTTGGCTTTGTCGGGTGGAGGAGGATATACCACGTCATTTGACTTATACTTATGCGATATAACCCCCCAAAAACCTATTATAAATACAGCACTATGTAAACTTTGCATTGTTCACTAACGTTTACCCCAAAATAGCACAGTAACATGCTTAATTTGAGTCACTGCAGTATTACGGAAGCTGGTATAATGCTGCAAAAGCAATTAAAGTGATCGGCCTCAGAAAAGCGATCGCTGGAAACTATTTCTCACGTCACGATGTGAAGTGCTGGGTGATTCAGGCCAGATCTATACACATTCAGAAATTCCAGGCCTTCAAATATATATTTATCACTGACAGAAATATCCTGACATTCAGACAATTTAGTGACTTGCAATCACACGTGCAGCGAAGTGTGAGTGCACGATCACGAGTCCTCCACTCTTAAGAATTTGCCTTTGGGGTTAGCGATGCCCGTCATTGTGACGTCATTCCACGACATGGCGCATCACACTTCCCTCGTGACGTCACTACATAGTCCTCTCCTCGTGCGGCCTGAAACGTAACACGTGACATTGCTCATTAAATACAAACACACTTCCGCGTGACTTTTCCTCCTGGTTCAGTGTGGCTGTGTTGCGATCTTGTGTCTACCGTACAGGGACAGATTTGAGAATGGGTCTAAATCAAATAATCAACTTTGGTCAAAGACTGTGGATGCCTTTCACAAGTCAATCGCAATGCTCCATTGGTCCTTTGCGCAGGACGTGTTTGAAACCAACAACATGTGGGTAATCCTTGAGCTTTGAAAGATACCTGAATGTCAAAAATGACGGGACCCAATGAAAATGTTGATGGAACAATTTCACGGAACCATTTTTTTAAATCCATGGCGCGTGTAGAGTAATCGATGTCCCCTATTTGTACTGTATTGCAGGCTATCACACGCGGGCCGTGCAGAACCTCTGAGATGTACACGATTTGCGCAAACCTCGTGAATCCCATTTTAATTGAAAAGCACAAAATAACCCCCCCCAAAAAAATACTGTACCAATTTTACCTCACAAATAGGTTTTGAGTCTGTGTAAATGTTACTATTTCAGCTCCAAGATCACAACTAGTTTCTCTGAAAATGAGATCCCCTTCTTGTTAAGCTAGCACCATCATTTTCAGATAGATATATGCTTAAATGTCAATAAAAATGTAAACATTCACAAACTGGCAATTTCGTTAAGTCGGCTTTCTTTAGTTGTAAAACGTCTGAGAGATGAAGGGACACATGTTCAAACTAAATCATGGAGACGAACAAGAGAACAATGCAGACAATTATAGGCTTGGAATACATTCTCAGCCAATATTTGTAAAACCAGTCTTGTACTCAAAACAAGTATGGATCATAAATGTGTTTAATGGTGTCGTCATTTACAGATGTTACCGTGAAATGTGTACATTTACGCTGCGTGATTGATGGCCAACACTGAAAGAGTTGCACTTGCTATATAACACAGCATCATTGTATGCAGCCATTACTATCTTCACTTGTTTGGGATTTAAGCTTTGCTGTTTTTGAAATGTACAACATTGAATGCAACATCTTTAAATCAAAAAGTAAAGGAATTCATAAATATTTAAATAAACAGAACAAAGATCCCCCCGTGTAGCCTGTACAGACTGTTGGGGCAAGTGCTGTTAGTGAACACCTATGAAGGCCGGCACGGCACACAAAGGGGTGGGTGGCCAGCACCACGCCCGGCCGCCTTTGTCTCCCTAGCGGCGATGTTTACATGTCGCACCACTCATTTGAGGCTGAGTTGACCTAGGGGAGGCCCAGGACCGATTCAGATAATCGTCACTGGTGTTGGTGGCCATGAGCGGGAATCGAACTCGGGTCGCCGGGTTCGTAGCGCAGCGCGCTAACCGCTGCGCCACCGGCCCCCTACAAATAAACACGCGCGCGCCCACACACACATTTCTAACGTAACCAGTGAGCTGCTGGGTGAGTGGACCACTGTGCAGGCATCTACTGAACACAGGTTGCCACGGGGACCGCTGCCGATCGAGGAGGTCGCTATTGCGCAATGAGGAAATGTACATCCTTACGAAGCAGTACTTGTGCAGTAGTAGGTTTGTAAATCAGGAATTCAGTTTATGTAGAAAATCCCCCAATAAAACGGTCGGGTTTCTGCGTTGACAGGATCACTAACATCATTGTGGGAGGGGTCAAAATTAAACTGCACCAATGTTGTACTATACTGCACTAAAATCCACGTGCGTGCATGTGTACTTACAAACCGGCACATTGCCTTTGCTGTTACAGTAATTCACAAGATTTGTAACCTCTCAGTACAAGTTAATTATAAGTTATATGTGTACAATAATTATATTTCATATACCATAAATATATAAATTCAAGTGAACACTATTTAAACAGCATAAACATCGTGTCCTTGTGTTGCCCCATGTTATATCATATATATTACTCCCTTGACAAAAATATGAGTATCTGCAGATAATGCTGAGCATCGATGTAGCACTCTGTATGCAGACGGAGTTTGAGAGGGCCCAAGGGCCATGCACTTACACTCCGTAAAGGTAACGAATCCTGCAGCAGCAGCAGCAGCAGCAGATGATGATGATGTACAATCAAGCTAATCATTTAATTTAAATTCCTCTGAACATACTTCTTGAGAAAGATCTACCACACACTAGATTAGTATAATATGTACTCTATTTATATACTGTATATATGCTAAAATTATCCTTTACCTAAACATTGCATAAATGAGCTAAAGCTGTCGATGAGCATGTGATTGGCTCCATCAGTTAGAACGCATCAGCACCCTGGAGGCGTTTAGAGGCATCAAACCAATTCAAGCGGCTCTGGGTGTGCGCTAATCAAGGGACAAACAGCTCTCTACGCTAACATGTTCACGCAGGTTCATTATTTGACTTGAAAACTAAATGTGTTAAATGAATAATCCCTGTCGAACGTGTCAGACATTTCATAGGGAACCCAAATTTAGTAACATTGACCTATTTTGGATTATAATAGCATAATAAGTGTAAATATATCTATGAAACATTCATTGTTTTCTACCTGATTATTTAAAGCAAGGGGTTGCTAACTAACTATATAGTAAAGGATATACAGTAATAAATAATTAAAGTACAGCATGTAGTATTTGCAGATACATGGTGGACATGCAGTGCATGCACAGCGCGCTGGCTGGGGGTGAGGAGGAGGCAGGGAGGGGGGTGATCACAACCTTCCGATGACCATCACATCAACCACCTCCCCCTTATGCAGTTCCAGGTACTGCTCAGTCTTGGGTGGCAGCATCAGCAGCCCGTTGGCGCTCCGCATGCTCAGCACGTGGCAGTTCATCTGGTTACCTGCAGGGACATTCAAGGCCGCCACGCGTCAATGCTGTTCGAAAACAAATCAGCAGGTGGAGAGTTCAGGCCGTGGCCGTACTTTTTAACATTCGTCTTGCTAAAATCCTAGTATGTATGTGCGTATGCTGAACTTCTTTCACACCGTACGTAGCCAACCGTGCTAATCGGAGGAGCGGAGGAAGGACAACAAACTAAACACAAAAACAATTTAAAAAACAGTTTTCAATCTATATTTAAAAGTGCATAGCTCCAGTGGGTTCCTAATATCGGAAGGAAGAGCGTTCCAGACGGCCACAGAAGCAGATCTGAAAAGCGAGATATGTGGTGACCACCTTCGTTCGACGACGAGCCAAAAGCCTCTGAGGATGACCAGAGTTCGCGTGATGATTTATGCTCCTTGACGAGATCAGCGAGGTATTGTGGTTCATTTGTGGCAAGCACTTTGTGTGTAATGAGTGCGACCTGATAATGCATTGGTTCAGCAACTGGAAGCCAATGCAGCTCAGCGAGCACTGGACGGACATGGTTAGATCTTGCAATAAAATACCATAAGTGGCCTCAAGTGTAAAATCTTTAAAGTGCCCAAAAGTACGCAGTTTACGAAATAAACTGTATTTTGTGCTGGACATGCGTTGCGAATGTACCTGTGCTCTGGGCCCAGGGTAGTGGCTCTTGGTGGTGCCAGGTCAGGATGCAGCGGTGGTACTCTGGGCGAGGATCCAACTTCACATCACAAGCCAACTGTGAACATCACGAGTAGCACCACAATAAGCCTTGTGCTGTCACACAACGAGTAGTTAAAAAGATACAAAATGTACTCTTCCTACCTTATCCCTATGACTGCTGATATGCACCTGTCATACGAAATCGTCCTCTTGATAATAAGTGATTGAGCATTAAGCTGAGCCGACTGTTTCCGTAATCGTCACAAACATGCGCATTTCCTTATTGCAGTCATTTCTAAACATTGCCGCAAGTCAGTTGTCAACACATTCCAGGTTCCTTCTTCAATAAATTTCACTTCCCAAAATAAACAATAACAGCTGGCCACTCTTTTAAGGAGCAGTTATGCAAGGTGCCCACTGCCCCACCCTTGATCATGTGACATGTCTGCACCTGGTGAGAGTCTGGGGATGAGACGGTGCACGAGCAGCATGCTCTTAGCTATTTTGACTGAACTTCTCTTGGCATAACTTAGATACTTGTTATATTTACTCTATTGAATCAGCCTCAAATATTTCTACTATTTATTTTAGTGATACTGAGTTGACAACAGCGCGTGATAAGCCGCTTCGTTGAGCTTTCAATTGTAGCCAGGATTTCTTCTGAAAAGGAAGCTAATAGTTCAGTGGGCTTTACGTGGTAAAATACATTTTTTAGTTTGATTTTTTGTAACGTATTCTTTGGGTCTTTCGGAAAAATCACTTCATAAGGATGACGACCGCTTGTGTTGTGATTGGAACGTCGTAGTTTTTTGTGATTTTCTTTTAAGGTATCTACGTGACTTTACCGAAAGACACAAAGAACATGAATTCCTGTAGTCACGAAAGCTTTAAGTCGAGATTTTTGTGACTTGTTTACCTTTCCTATACTTTGCACTCCTATCGTGTTTTTTTGTATTGTTTGTTGTTGTAACGTTCTGACCCGCCCGCTTACTGGGCATCTGTGAAAAAGAGCTTTATAGCTCATCGGATTCCTCCAGTATAAATAAATATTCTGATTCTGATAAGCACAAATAACAAACACACAAAGCGCTATGAGGAAGGGCCGTTACCAAAAACATCGCCTGTTAAATATAAATACTTCCCTTGCACAGTTATTGATAACCGCATTTTCACAATTTTTTCTCACAGATGTACAAACTGCGAGAGAGGCAAATATTGCACAACAATTAAAACTTGAGCGTGTGAAACAGATGTCTCGAGAGCCTTGGCCCACTACTGGAGTGCACCTTTGCTGATATCTCGCTTGGATCAAAGCTCCCCCCTCCCTTACCCTTGCTTTGAGGATCGTGGGACGCGGATCAATGATCCCTTGCATCTTACGCAGCGCCGGGATGACAAAGAGGTTGCTTGTGATGATGGCAGACACCGGATTTCCTGTAATGGGAGGGCCGCACTTATGGGCAACAGACACACAGACGATTGTGGAATCGTACCTGGCTATGGCTTGCCAATTGGAATGCGTGTGGTAAATCTTTTTCAAATTTGAAATAAAACAAAAACAGAATATTATCACTATATTATTCCGATTTGGCAATAATGGCGAGATGGAACACTCTATATTCTGGATAAATATATAGTAAGTTTATCTCTCGCGTTGTTACAGTCATTGGTTTCCCTTCTCCTTTCCATCCACTTTTTTATTATCATCATGTTTGAAAGTGCCTTTAAACAATACATTCAATTTGAATCCACTTTCAAAACATGGAATTCACAATTAAAATGCAGACACACGTGTCATAGTTCACACTCCATATAAAGGAGTACAACAAACGCTGTATTAACGTGTACAACAATTATTAAAGTGTACAACAATTATCAACGTGTACAGGGTGGTCAACAAGGTCTGGAATCATAGGGGAAAATAACGAATTCATGTTTTTTTGTTTGTTTCTGCAGGCCCAATAGCTCTCTGAGTAGTAAAGAAGAACGAGTCCAGATAATTCCACTTGTAGGAAATCGGAGTCAGAGGGAGGTCGCCGTTGAATTGAACAGACTGCATAACACAGAGCAGTGTTAGCAAACTTGTTGCAAAGTTAATGGGAATAGGATCCATACAACTTAACCCACGCAGTGGAGCTTCGACGAGATCCAACAATGATCACACAGCCACTGCCATCCTCGCTCATTTTAGCAGAAGTGTCGAATAAAAACGTTCCAATTGCCTTTTTTGTATTATTTTTACTAGATTCTAGACTTATGGGACCCCCTGTACGTATTAATGTGTACAACTATGTATTAACATGTAAGTATTAACGTGTACAACAAACGTTTCTGAGTAAGGAGACTGAGCACGCCCAAGGCTGATCTAATCTTCACGTGGATAGCTCACGATATGTTAACCGTACGACCCATTTTAGCTTAAAATAATTGGGTACCCAGGCCTACCCATAATTGATTACACGACTGTAATGCACACACACACACACAAGTGGATGTCTGTGCGCACCACATTACCGGGTAGTGCGAAGATTAGTTTGCGCATGCCGTGGATGTCCAGTGTACCAAACGTTGTGGGCAATCTGCAAAGAGAAACATCGCCGTGCCAGAAATAAACGGCACACGACAAAACCAATGCAGCTGCTTTAACTGCTTCGTATAACGTCAGAAAATCAGTAACCACCATTTTTTTAATAAATTCAAAGCACAATCAGAGTCAAGATCTTATACTCACTAAGGTTCATGCTGTAGAAACAATAATTAACTTTTTAAAATTTTAGTTAAGAGTAACGTTACAATGTTGCGTATTTTGTTCTTTTCAAAGCAAATTAATGTGAGAATGATAACAGCGGTGCATGCTGGCACCAACAGCTGGGGCAAGCAGACATCACAGAAATACTGCCGAGACCTCTTATACGGACCACAATTAACGAAACCTCAACAGGTGTTAGTAACATTGCTCTCCTCACCACCTCCATCAGGCAAGGCCAAACTAAGGGTCTCTGCTGATTTCAAGTCCACCGCCACAATTGACAGCACATCGACAATAACCATCACAATTGGCCACGTGATGGTCATCACTGCGTATAAACCCCAAATAGCCATAGCCATCACCGCCTGTGACAGCACCCGCTTGCACTGGCTATAGACGTGGGTGACTTCTACAAGTACCACACACGATGATGGGGCTACTCAGACAATGACGAAGCTCGAGAAATGGTAGTCGGCACGAGACACGTCCCTTGCGTACGACCCCAAACAGCTGGGCACGTTACACTCGGCCACATGAAAAAAAATACAACCTCGACTTATGGTTCATTTGAAAGTACAATAGCAGACAGCTACGAATTACCACGAATAATTTTCGGCAAATTTTTAAACACCCAAAACAGACCGGCGGTCACACACATCGAGATTAGAGATACCGGTCGTTAACCTCCAAACCACGGCCACCCACATTGGAACTCTCGGAAGGCCAAGTGGCCTGGCTATGAAAAAGAAACCGAAGCCCAATTGAAAAACCTGCAGCTCAAAGTCTGAAAACGTTGTGAAGATGTCACTGCAGACTTGGTTCCTCCACAACCGAAGTGCCTCAAAAGCAACACAGCACAGACCACCAACAACCACAGTGAATGCTGTGGCTTACCACACGCTGTCGCAATCAAAAGGCACCAATTGACAAGTTCACCAAGTAAGCTCTCAGGAAACAACACCGCCATCACCGTAAGTCAGCTACCACAAGCAACAGATCTAACGAGACCGTACAGCGAGGCGCAGGGATATTATTGCCTGTGTCGTGAGTTCCTAAAAAACCCGGCACGATACAAACAAAGGCTTGCAAACCTCTTCACCGTCATACACAGGACGGCCAACATCCCGATGGCAAACCAGAGTCGTTGCCATTCTGGATCCCAGCAAAGCCGCAAGACTCGTCCTCCAGCTACCGGCCAACGTCCCTCCTTGTCCTCCACCCCCAAGCTGATGGGATGTGCCGAGCTTGCAGACACACCCCATTATTGATCCCCAACTGCCACCCGATCGAGCCGGATTTCAAACTGGCCGTAGCTGCTGCCTTCGCCACCATCACCGAGGCTGGTTTCCAGTGTCAAAAAAAAAGTGGCACGGCAATGATCAATGACGCTGTTTGGCATCATGGCCTACTGCTGAAGTCAGTCAACATCATCAGATGTCATTGTACCGTACACCCAATCGACACGATGCTCAGAAACCACCACAAGCGCTTGTGCTCCAGCCTGGTCCGGCAGCTCATACGCAAAACTGCTAGATGCACAATTAAATGACGCAATGTGCATCGCAACCAGACCACTGAAACTGACACCAATCCCCTCGCTCCCTGTTCTCGCACACATTCTGCCACCAAATATCTGCGGAGACATGCAAACTGTAAGGGAGTTTACGAGATATCTTGCCAACCAACACCTCAACAATGTATCTCACCACACCACCGACTCAAGTCCCAATGCCCCCTTCTAGTATCATCCCATCACCATCCTAGATTCCCGCCAAGATCTGGACGAGCAACGCGGACGTTCGGAATAAACACCTCGTTCAAGACCCAAAAAACAACCTTCTGGCTTCGACATTCCTCCCAGAAGACACGTGTGTAACCATCATCAACCGCATCAGAACACCGACAGGCTCGATGCACACATCTCCTTCGTGAACTTGTGGCCATGCAATCAAAACTAGGGAACATAGAGATCATCGATTATCCAGCAGCTCCAGGGTTAAGGGGGCTCCATATTTTCAAAAACGTCGGATAATTAATCACTAATCATTATTTAAAATAGCTTATTTTTTAACGTTCTTGTATAACATGTTTCTAAGGAGTTGTGCAAATGTTTTTTTGTGTTTATATTTGTTTACTATATCAACTTGGCATAAATAAACATACAAATAGACAAAAATAAATATCCTACTGTAAAAATATACTGTTTTTGCTGTACCGTACTTACCACTCCAATCTTGAAGACTCTGCATGGGGTGATGTACCTACTACGCGCTTGTTTCAATGACATGCGTTTGACGATCGCCCGACTGATGCAGCCTTTGCAGTGTTTTTGCCGGTTTCGCCGGATCGGTCTGGGACCGCCGAATAATATTGGAAGCAGGATAATATCGTGCGTCGGATATAATCGATGATCAACTGTACAGTAAATCACTGTGGTCTGGGCTCCTTCATTTAGAGAATATAAAAATACACGAACTCTCTCTTGAAGCCCCCTCGTCGCTATCAGACCTTGAATGTGGCATTCAGCTCTTGAACATATTGCTATAGAATATCACCGTGCTGAATGGCAGAAAACAAAACCGGCATGTATTTCACGCTGCACTCCAATTTGGGGAACGATATGCGAGCATAACTTGTGACCAGGAGTCACATCGAGCAGACAGCCGCAGATACCTAACAGTACTCCCAAACCATAGACGAGTGTGCATCCCCTGGAACGTGTCATCACAGAGCGCAGGGCACAGGGCACTGATGTAATTGTTCCTCACCCTGGCTTCATGAAGACTCTTCCAAAGTGGATCTGGGCATTGAGGTCAATGTCCAGTACCTGTTTGAAATAATCCTAAAGGGAAGGGAAATGCAAGGAAAAGTCATTCAAAAGCGAGTTCCTGCTCATATGAACATCGAAGCTGTACTCATCTCCCGTTTACAGGCCCTCACTCCACATTCATCTGGTCGGGGCAAGTATATCCATTGGACAAGCCAGTGTTGACTTCTCCACAACCGTGGAGGGATGAGAGCCTGAGCCAGAGCCAAACCCCAACCGGGAGTTGAACTCGTGCACTTTCCGATTGCGAGCCACTCGCTCTACCGATGAGCAGGCTGGCTAACGGGAAGAATGTTCGAGAAACTGAATTACCAAGCATGTACGTAGACAGAAATTGCATTTAAAACATTTTTGGATGATGTTACAGGATACGTCGAATAAAAAAAATATATATAATTGATCATACTATTTTTTTTACTTTGAAAAGTATTTTTACATAAATACAGTATAATTTATCATTAAATAATTTGCAGGATTATTTCATGAAGTTTATAAATAACGTATAATTTAACTGACAGGCCAAACCAGGATGTTTGGTAGCTTTAACTGTGTTCAATCCCCACAGCATTGCAAGTTAGAGACATTTCTCTAACCTAGAAATGTCATTGTTTCTCTGTGTGCAGCCCAAACTTTTGCAAAGGATTTGGCTCCCAAACCGCGGGGTTGACGTATTAAAAAAAGAAGTAGCCAGGTGCCACGCCGTAAGCCCCGTGGTGAGCCAGCGCCATTTCGTTTTCCCGTCCGTCAACTTTAAAGTAGTTTAATTAGCGATTTAGTGCTGTTTTAGTATAATTACTTATTACTAAGCGTGCGCTCGACCATACCAACTCACGCGCGTTCGGTGGGGGGGGGGGGGACGGCCCCTACCAACTCACACGCCTTCGTGTGGACACTGAGCGAGGTAATACTCACTAATTTAGAGCTCCCTTCTGTTTTTTCATAATACAGCGTACACATTAACCAATGTTTCATGACAGTAAATCTACACGACGTAACACGCTTCTTCCCCTGACTAATAGCAGTTAAATTTCATTCCCTTAAGACAACACAGTCCAGCCAATGTGTCTTTTTGCCCACAAACTTTCCTGTTGTGAGCACGACTTTCAGTCACGAACTACAGTATTATTACTTTCTTTACATTTATTTTTCACTTTCGCTAATTGTTCAAACAAGATGTTCCATTACAGAAGATATACACTATGTAACACGCTTTCTTCCCCTGCATACTAACTGCTCTATTTAAGTTCGCTAGGGCAACAAAGGACAGCCATTGTCTCTTTAGCCTCACAAACTTTCCATTATCTGAAGGGTCGTGAGCCTCCTCTAGATCGGCTCAGCTTCAAATGATAACCTGCTGCGATGTGCAGCAAACATCGCCACCGGGGGACTCAAATGGATGTATTCTTTACACAGTGTTTATTACCGCTTCTGCAAATTATATTGCAATGCATCACCATTATTTATTAACTATCTCCATTTCGCATTCGCTGGACAAATTACAAACCAACATGCCAGCAACAACGTCGTCAACGTACTTTATTAATTCACTTTTTTAACGCATTCATTTAACTTCTTATTTCCAACTTTCCCTAACGTCACGCACATTGCATTTTTCGTTACTGTCACGTACATAGACCAATTGCCATGAAATATTTTATGTTACTACTAAATAAATACAAATACTATGACACTTTTAAAGTACAACACTTCCACTTATCTACACTGCAGCCTGCTTCTTTATCGCACTCGTTGTACTGGCAGTCTCTTATGTAGACTGTTGCCTGCTTATTAATTAAAAGTCAGTGCACTGCCAGCCTATTATCTACACACTAAATATTTATTTTAATCACGATCAGTGTACTGACGGTCTTTCATGTAGACTGTAGCCTGCGTTTTAAGCTGCTGACCCTATTGGCAACTTATTATGTCGACTGCAACAATGCTTATGTAATTGAGTCAGCGTACTGGGAGTCTATAATCTAGACTGTAGCCCACTTCTTAAGTGTGGGTACTGCTGCTCTATAATGTACACTTATTCTAGCTTCTTTCTTCAATGCATTTCTATTGTTTCGTTTGCTCACGTCACGCTATTCACTGATATGGAGTACTGCCGATGCTGGTTTCTATGTTATACTGCTAAATACGTTGGACTTCCTTTGCTATACAGCTCATTACATTTTGTCGTCTATCATTTTGTTACATTGTTGGGAAAATCACCCATTTTACATTTGGCGTACTGTAGCTTTTCGTTCAACATTCACCTGAAGGAGCGAGCACATTTCCTCTTTTTTTCTATTTTTTAAGCATTCACATATTAAACTGCATTCCTTACATATTTATGATACTGACATTTATTTGACAACTTTATTTCAAAATCATATAATTTTATTTATCTAAAAATATTATTTCCTCTGCCGTATTATCACAGTGCCTGCCTATAATGCAATATTTCGAAAATAATACATAGGCACCATGACTCATTGCATTCAATACAAGCCAAAGGTATATCATACAAACTAAGTATGACCTTCACCTTTGATTACAGTGCTGATCCTCAAAGGTGCATTAACAATTGTTTGCATTTTCCCTCTTCATTGGTTCTTTCCCTAAAATTACGTACATAGAAAACTAATCTTAACAAACTGAGTTAGTAAATAGAAAAGTTAAAATGTGTGTGTGTAAGTCGATGTCTGTGTGTGAGTTGATGTCTGTGTGTGAGTCGATGTGTGTGTGAGTCGATGTGTGTCAGTCCATGTGTGTGTGTGTGTTAGTCAATATGCGTGTAAGTTGATGTGTGTGTGAGTCAGTGTGTGTTTTAGTCCATGTGTGTGAAAGTCGGTGTGTTTGTGTGTGTGGGTCGATGTCTGTGTGTATGTCTAAGTCGATGTGTGTGTGTCTTTTTCACCCGGGCAACGCCGGGTACTTCCCGCTACTGATCTATAATACATTCATGAAATCACAAGTGTGCACGGACAAGAAAACATTACAGTTGTACATTAAATTCAGCGTCTAGGTTCAAGTGGATTTTGTTTAACCAAGTGGTGAGACAAGGATAGCATCATTTTGCTGGTTCACTACAATGACAAAAGCAATGATGTCAAAAAAGACAGCGTGCCCCGCATCACAGAATAAATCGATTACGTTCATTAACATTTCCTCCAACAAAAGTTCGATCAGACAAATAACTTTTAAAAAACCGTTCGTAGTAAAATTAAGTGAGAGAACCATCAATATGGATTTCGGGTGATTATTGCACTTTTATGTAAACAGACAAGAACATAATGTCCGATAGAAATCATAAACAGTCAGATGTGGTGACCCCGTGGCCTGCGTACCTTATCGCCCATGGAGACGCCTCCAGAGGCTATGATGACGTCTGCATGGGTGATGCCTTCATTGAGAGCCGTCAGTAGATCATCAGGACTGGAAGAAAAAAAACATGTTGAAAAGTCAAGTAGCTGCACCAATCAGTTAACCAACACCTAAAAGTGTTACCAGACGTGCACATATGTTCAATTGAACCTTATGGCGGGACCCCAGGGTGCCATAAGCCCCGGCTCTCGCATAAACTGCGTTGCAACGTAATTTTATGTCTGTTGAAGGCGAACGATACGGCAATCTATTCCTCTCGACGAGCTCTACACGGTGCGCTAATCAAAGTTTCAAAGTTTTGCTTCTTCTGTGCATTCGTCCTCGCTGCACTTGGACTACATGACAACAGAATGATCCGCACCAGGTAGGTCTCTAAAAATAAACAAATTAATGACGATGTTGACTTCCGTTTATTCGGGACCCCGGGGTCCCGCCATAAGGTTAAATTTTACAACAATAATTATAATAAAATACTACATTACAGCCCTTTGCCAATTTTCTGCTGGATAAAGACTATACCCCACGCTGTTGCCAGTCATCGAGGTTGTGTGAGCAGACTTCACCACGCACGTTTGGGCGCCGCATTGGGTGGCGAGATGTTATCTCCCTTGCCCAGTATGCAGGAGGCCATGGGTTTGATCCCGACCATGATGCTTGTATATTTGGAGTTCGCATGTTCTCCCCGTGGTCGCATGGAATTTTCTCCGGGTCCTCTTGTTTTTTTTTCCCCTCCACATTTAGCAACGTGCCTTTGTATTATTTGGTACTCGGCCGCTCGGCCCATTATGCAGTCGGCTCGTCGCGTTACACTGACTGGTCACGATTTGAGGTGGGGTTGTTTTTTCTGCTGTTGCGGTAAACAAAGCGCCTCTCGTGGCTGCGGGCTTCACTTGAGCCGACCATTTACATTATTACATTATTGTGATTACACTTGTAACACAATTTTTGTCCCTGGATAGTAAGTGTTATTTTTTAATTTCTTATGCCTAAAAAGTATAGAAAATGGCTATTATTTATTGGCTATTATTCCTCACAAACCTTGCTTTTGTCACCAGGACAGTGACATTTTGAAATGTACCTATTTTCAATGAGAAAACGGGCGAATTTGTGTATTTTCGTTCACATAAAGTCATAAAAAAACAACATATGAATCGAAATTAACATGTATTTATACTAAAGTAATAAAAAAATTACTAAAAAAGATTTAGTAGTGAGTAGTTTTTCGAGATTTACGATGATACTGTAAAACACTTTCACGAATCAGCCACCAAATGTAGTCTCCCATCATACTGTCCATGGTAGCGGCATTCAAAGTCCAGTATATCCTGGTGGAAGCGCTCGCCCTGCTCTTATGAGTATGCTCCAATGTTCTCCTTGAATTTATCAAGATGAGTATCAAGGATATGGACTTTGAGGGACAGTCTACAGCCCATTGTGCCGTAGTTCTTCACCAGTCTCAACCAGCTCCACATAGTTTTCGGCCTTGTGATTGCCCAGGAAGCCCCGAACCACTGCCACAAAGCTGTTCCAAGCCACTTTCTCCTTACTAGTGAGCTTCTTGGGAAATTAATTGGACTCCAGGATCTTCTTTATCTGTGGTCTGACGAAGACACCGGCTTTGACCTTTGCCTCAGACAGCGTACCTTCCAGAGTTTTTTTTGCATTGCTCGCAGGTGAAATGAGGTCCCCAGGGATTGTCTTGATCCCCAACAGGCATGCCGACATATGCCTTGTAGGCCTCACACATCTTAGCAGATTCTTCCACAGAGTACTTTTTCACTCTTGTTTTGACAAATTGGCCCCAGACATAGCAAAATGCATCTGCCGGATGCTTGCAGCCTCTTGATGCCATCTCAGAAAAATGCAGATATGTATCCACTTAGGCAGCTGGAACTAAACTGAACTGGTGGGCTTAAGGCCCCTATATTTATACGACTATTTATGTTAACTGAACGTTCTGGAATGTTCTAGAAGTTACTCCAAGTTTACTCAGCACTGAATCTATCTGGAATTCTCATTGAAAATAGGTAAATTAAAAATATCACTATCCTGGTCACAAAAGCAAAGTTTGTGGGGAATAATAGCCATTTTCTGTACTTTGAGACATAAGCAATTAGAAAATAACACTTACTACCCAGGGACAACATTTTTCTGTTCCACTGTTATTTTTTGCTGCTATCAATTTCCACACAATAATTCACGATAAGCCACGTTCAGGTCACTTCTGGAAAAAAGAGCTTCACAGCTCAGTGGGCCTTACCTGGTAAAATTAAAAAAAGTTGTACTAGTTTAGTCTTACAGGTAAACCCTACTGGGAGAGACGAGGCACGCAGTAACAGTGGCAATGGGAGTTCATCAGCGATGGCTGAACACGGCGTTGAGTGCGGGCGTGGTACCCACTTGTCCCCAACGATGCCCAGGTCTATGGTCGGGTAGCCGTGCTCCTGGATGACGGCCAGCAACGTGGAACGGTTGCTGTCTCGCACCTTCCCAGGGAGGAGGTTGTCTTCCGGATTCAGCAGCTGTGCACACCCACAAGGGCACCCAGCAGTGACGCAAGTTTACACTCGTGCCCTTGGAGAACAGCACCAGGAAATAGTTGTGTCATTATCAAGTCTGTGGGACGCAGTAGTGTGATAATAGTTTTACTCAAGCTACTGTTCACATTACGCCCACTGCATGTGCAGCCCTTTGAGACGAGAAACCCACTCCTCTGTGATTTCCCTCTGTTTTCCCACAATTTAAATGTACAGTCCTTTCTCCTATAACGTATTTTCATAACGCAAATTGGACATAACGCGATCGAGTGATCAAAATTACATCGCGCGAGTAAGAATAAGCGGTCGTACGGCTGCCTCGGCGTAGCGTCACCACACAAGGCATTAGGATACTGCTGAATGCTTCTAGATGCTGCCCACGTGTTCAGCCTTAATACGCATCTCACGTGTTATTGAAGACTGCACTTTGCCCTATATTATTCATTATAACGTGATTTTTCCATAATACGGTGTTCTTCAGGAATGCAACTACGACGTTTTCGGAGAGCAGACTGTATTGTTATTTATTTTTCTCCACACCTTACGAAGTCCACCGATGTCCCACTTTATTTTTACCAATTCTGCTTCTAATTCTACAAAGGTCTGATCCGAACGGATAATGTCATGTGTTGTTGTATAATAGCGATTGCCAAATGCAAGAGTCCTGTTCATACCCGGCAATTAGAGTATTTGGTTGCTATAAGTTTCCACATCATAAGCTACTTCATTGAACTATCATTTGTGACCAAGTCACTTCTGAAAAAGTGCTCTATAGCCCAGAGGGTTTTACCTTGTAAAATAAAAAATATTTCCGAGTTTCATAGTTTAAATCTTAGGACCCGCTGTTCCTTAAACGTGAAGTCAAGTGATTTCTGGCGGAGCTGGGGGCTGCTGGCTATAATACCGATCATATACGTTGCGCAATCGCCTGCTTATGAGCCTTAACCTCGCCAGGTCTTCATTTTAAATCAGAGCTAGATGGTACTATTAATATTTTTTGAAATATATATTTAGCAAAAAATAAAGATTTGAGAATGCAGGTGACCTCATTTCCCGTAGACATGACAGCGACGATGGGGAACTTGTGCACCTCCACCTCTGTGATGCCCATGGTGGCCAGGAGTCCGATCTCCGAGGGGCCCATGTGGGTCCCCTTGGCCAGCACGCACTCCCCACGCTTGATATCGTGGCCTATCGACCTACGCACAACGACGCAGTGCGAGACACACGCATTGCACATGTGCGCGCGTCGATCGTTTATCACGCACGGACACATGTGCATGGGGGACCCCCTTCGCATGACAAGTCATATGGATCAGAAAACGTGGACAAAAAATGTAACGGCAAGAGCTGAAAAGTGCACGAGCAGGTATGGAGAGGTGCACGCTTGGAATTTTACTGGCGTAGGCAATTCATGCGAGTTGAATGACATCAAATTTTATCAGAATGTTTATTTACGCCGGAGGAATCCGATGAGCTATGAAGCTCTTTTTCACAGATGTCCAGTCGGGGAGTGTCAGAACGTTACAACAACAAACAATACAAACAAACACGACAGGAGTGCAAAGTACAGCGCTAGGTAAGCAAATCACAAACTAACGCAAATAAAAATGTTTGATAAAGTAAGAGAGCTTGCGGCTGGACACGTCGCGAGACGGGGTGATGGCCAGCGGTCGAGACTAACAATAGAGCGGCAGCCAAGGGGGAGAACGCGCCCGAGGTTACGTTGACCGAGGAGATGAAGCGATGACATCGGATCATGTGCCAGAGCTAAATAAATTGTTGCATCCGAGGACCTTAAGGGACAGCAACAGCTTGGGGGGGCATTCATCTGGCATCGACTGATAACGACTGCTGATGATGATGAAGCTGAGACAAATACTATTTTACAGTTCACGCACAGGGTGAAGGCAGAAGTGTTTAGTTTAACTCTGCTGTGCACAATCGTAGTGAGCAAAGCTGTAGAGATGTAGGGAGAACGATCTCAATTCTACATGTAAGTTCACTTACCGGATATCTTGGCCTGGCCTGGCTTGAATTAATATCCGAACCTCCAGTTCCTCCGTGCCCTGCTTATCAGATACATAAGCACATCGCTGCATGGTGGATATACATTTATTATTATTATCACCCCCCCCCCCTAAACCCGTCCACCATTCAATGAAGTATCATGATTCAGGGTCATGATTCAGTTAAAGAATAAATAATTACGTTGTCATTATTCCACAATTTTATCCCAATTGTGCTACCGGAGTGACGTCACGAGTCAAAGTACCATTTCGGAACTCTCAAAGAGAGCAGTGCAACCCCTTTGCCTTAGAAATCGGTCCACGGAAGTGGATATTGCAGAGCTACCTCCGAGATCCCTTCAATTTGAACACCGGTCCAGCACTTTCCCACTCGCTCTGCACATGAGAGTGAGATTGGCACACGACAGTCAAACCGATCCTTTAATTCTCATGACTGTCATTTAGCCAATTGGTTCAGATTAACAACAATTTGACCATTTTTTATCCTAGAGGATGGAGTGGTTTGCCTTTTCTTTCAATGGACCTAAACGTTTCAGAATCAATGACCTATATACACACACAAAACAGAATAGGCAAATTTTATTCCTCCCACTGTATAAGTAGTTATGTTTTAAAATAAATATATTGGTATATTATTTGTCTATTCAACTGGGAAAACAAAGTTTTATGTACAGAAACATTGAATTAATACTGTATATACATACATAGGGTGTATTACTGATGCTGCCTTATCCTTTAATATGTATATTCATCAAGTCATCAAAAAATTACATGTAAGGTTATCTTGTACAAAAACAAGCAATGCCTTCCAATTTAAATTCGTAGACAGATTACCGAAGCGCCAATCATTACATTATTTGACTACCGCAATGTAGCATATCGGGTTGCTTCGTCAAGACGCTTAAACAAGCTTAACTCGGTTTACGGTGTTGCGTTACGATTCGCCGTAAACTTCAAATATACAACAGGTGTCAGGGTCGAACCCACAACCTCCTGTATACCAGGCGAGGTAGTTAACATCTCGCCACTGTTGACACTGTGCTGTAATTAACAACGCTGCTGTAATTAACAGCACAGTGTGACAACTTCAGATATCACATCCAAAGTGGGTGCGGATTTTATTTTTGTGATTTATTATTACGTGTTGTATTATTGCTGCATTATAAAACAAATATTGTTAGGTACAAAAAGAAGCACGGAGATGATCATGCTTGGAATTACATTGAGAGACAAAAAGAGAAATACTTGGATCAGCGAGAGAACACATGCTGCTAATAACATCATCCAAACTATTCGGAAAAGTGCCCTTAGACACATCATGCTCTGGAGGGATGATGGTAAATAATAAGAATGATAAAAACGCAGTGCAAGCCAAGGAATGGAACACGTCCGAGAGGACATCCGCCTACGAGTCGGAGAGATGAAAGTCGCTCCGTGCGGGGCCACCGGCCGGATTGTTGCGTCGCAAGACCATGGAGGTGGCGATGGCCCGCAGAGACCTTCATCCAGCCGTGGACTGAGCAGTGCGTCACAACACTCACGTCGTCCGATTCCTTAAGGAGCTCCGTGTTCTCCACGGGCACCACCGCGTCGGCGCCGCACGGGATGGGCGCCCCCACCGTCACACGCATCACTTGCCCCGGCATCACCGTCTGGCTCGGCTGCCCAGGGTGCATGACACACACACGCGGACACACTGTCAACAGGACCGCTTAATTTGCAGTGCCGGGCCATTTGGAAGATGAACGTGCAGAATTACTTCCAAGGTCACTTCAACGGGCCACTTTGCCCATCCACAAAAGGGGGCACCACCTCTTAAATGTTCTGAAAAGTCTGCAACAATTTAACCAAAATAATGAATCCTCAGAGCTGGAATATTGCCAAATAAAGTACCACCTTTGCACTCTCCATATAAATGTGTCTCCTGTATTTTAATGGGCCAAAATATAGAAGCAATCCGGTAACATTGTTATAACCTACTCAGATATTTGCATGAGATTGTCACTATTCAAATTAAAATGCTCATTAAACTTTTGAACAACTGTACATGCTCATTAGACAATAGAGCGGCCACTATTGTCTCACACAATGCGATCATCAATGACGCCGTATTTTGGCACGAGTAGTGAGTGTGGAGGGCTTACCGGCTCACCGGCATGCGATTCCCCAATAACAAAGCGGTCACCTGGCCCATCCGCTGCTAAAAAGGGACACGGACAGCAAAAAAATGTACACCGTTACCTCAGTGAACTAATCGGTGTGTACTCTCTCATTTCCATTTGCTATAACATCCGAGGAAACCTTGGGTTGCCACAATTGCAACACTCATTCAAATAAAATGTTAAATTTAATGTTATTTTTAGATACATTTTAGGGGATTTCTTTTAAACGTTTATTCTCAGAACATTTTCTTCACAACTTCAATGTCACAATAATTGGCACAGAGGCACACAAACCTCTCACGGCATAGCCGTCCTTCATGGACGCTGGAAACGGAGGAAGGTTGTCCTTGGCAAAGACGTCTTGGGCCAAAACTCGCCCGAAGCCATCTGCAGAAACATCCCCAATGGAAACAACTGAAATAAGTGTGGCGTTAAAATTACATGTGGGACAAATATGAAGTATTTTTTTTGTTTAAAGAGGAACATTTTAAGATGAACATATCCTTGCATAGGCTGTGGGCAAGGATAGCGTGCAGGAAAATTACAAACAACGGGCTCAGTAGCCTCCTGTTGTGGATTAATGACGTCCCACTACCCTACATCCCACAGTCGGTCTAGAGTGAGCCGCGTATGCAGCCCATCACAAATAACCTATCCTATGCTTTTTTTGTAGTGCAAAGTGCGAAGTAACTGCAGTAGCTTTCACGACACGAGCGTGTTAAGTGTGAGGGAGGTGTAGATCCTCCCGCCCCCCCCCCCCGTTCAATTCCGCCACATCCACCTGCACGATCTTCCCGGCACTCGCTCCGGACGAAATTACGGAGATGAAGCTCCGCTGCAGGAAGTTCCTCTCTTTAACGACGCCAAAGACACCGCGGCTACTTTTGTTGAGCGTCAGTGCCAGGGCAGCGGTGTAAACCAACCACAAAACAATATTCCACTAACAACACGCCCGCACCGTCGTGTGCACCCGCTGTGCCAGTAGTCCTCAAGAGTTCCAGTCTCCGATCCTGGTGGTTGCTCGCTCTGGAGAATAACGAGTTGCCAGGGCACAGGACAAGTAGAAGACGCCTGGGGCGCAAGGGCACGGCTCATGCAGAACAGGCCCTGGAGTGCCGCCGGAAGCATGCAGTTGCGAAGAGCGCCTGACAACCAGATATCCCAGCATCGGGTCCACCATTACGCCTAAAATATAACCAAGAGATAGCTGGCTTTGTATTTATATTCCTGGAATTCACCACTCTCTGTCGCACTAGACCACGGTTGCAAGGTACGCAGAGTTAGACTGATAATCCTAGGATTCACTATATGAACGTATGTTGAACTTATTTTGTTCTGTACGTAGTCAACCGTGCTAATCGTAGTTGTGGCTCGGGATTACTGTCACCAGTTACATCTATATTCTTGGTTCTTTTTACCGAAAGAACCAAGAATATGAATCCCTGCAGTCACAAAAGATTTAAATCAAAATTCAGTTAAATCTAGTTCGACGTATGATCCTGTGACTCACTTCTTCACTGGTCCTCTGGATCGCTATTACAAGGATAAGTCGAGTCCGACTTGTAATCCTGCGGCTCATTGGTCACTGTTCTCTGTTACAACTTTATGTCTGTTCCACCTGTATCTGTTATACCATTTATGGAGAGCGGCAGTGTAGTGGTTAGCGCACTGCGCTATGAACCCGACGACCTGAGTTCAATTCCCGCTCATGGCCAACGCCACTGACGATTATTTGAACGGTTCCTGGGCCTCCCCTAGGTCGACTCAGCCTCAAATGAGTACCTAGTGCGGTGTGTAGTAAACATCGCTACTACGGAGACAAAGGCGGTTGGGCATGATGCTGGTCACCCACCCCCTCGTGTACCGTTTCCAGCCTTCATAGGTGCTCGCTAACAGCATTTGCCCCAACAGTCTGTTAAGGCTATACAGATGATGTTTCTCTCTATCTGTTTTGATTATACTAGTACTGGCAGTCCTCGACTTACGGACGCAATTAGTTCCTAAGACCCGTTTGTAAGTCGAATGGTTCGTAAGTCAGAACACAATGTACTATATTAAATGCCATACAGTCGGTGTTATGAAATGTGTTAAGGTTCAACAAAAAGGGAATCATTGTTAAACTCATAAATAAAAATAAATATTGTACATTTTCATGCACCATTATGATACATACTGTATTGTAATTAAAGGGAAATAAAGTAGCATAAATAGAAAACAAATTAGTTGTATTTTCACCTACCTTGTGTCCTGCTGCTGGCTTGCTTGTCGGAAGAGGCGTAATGAGTCACCACAATAACACACAAACACAGCACACGCGCGCACACACACACACAGAGACACAAAGACAAAGATCCCCCGTGTGTGTGCGTGCACATGCGCACGCACACACATAGCCGTGACAGACTGTGCTTTTAGCAAGCAGCACCTCTGAAGGTCGCCGGGACGGCACACGAGGAGGTGAGTGGGCAGCAGCAAGCCCGGCCACTTTTGACTGGCGCACTACCCATTGCACTACCGCTCCCCACACACAAACACACGGGGGCACACACACACAGACACACACCAACGACAACGATCCCCCATATAACCTTCACAAACTGTTGGGGCAAGTGCTGTTAGCGAGCACCTATGAAGGCCGGCACGGCACACGAAGGGGGTGGTTGGCCAACACCACATCTGGTCGCCTTTGTCTCCCCAGTGGTGATGTTTACACACCGCACCAGGTACTCATTTGAGGCTGAGTCGATCTAGGGGAGGCGCAAGACCAGTTCAGATAACCGTCACTGGTGTTTGTCGTGAGCGGGAATCGAACTCGGGTCGCCGGGTTTGTAGCGCAGAGTGCTAACCACTACACTACTTTCACACAGACGCGTGTGCACACACGCACCAACACTCCTAGAGGATTCCTCCGCTGAACAAAATAGTTCCGCGGTTCAGTTTACAAGTGCGAGTTCGCATTTTAGGTCAATGTTTAAAAACATCTATTTAATGGGAGTTGGTTCGTAAGTGCGAGTTTTCGTAAGTCGGGAGTTCGTAAGTCGGGGACCGCTTGTATATCGTTCTCCAGATTACTGTCACCCTGTCTCCCTATGTCTCTGTGTATCTCTCTGTGTATCCCTGTATCTTCCTGCGTGACTTCGTGTCTCCCTCTGTCTCTCTGTGTGTCACCATGTCCCTGTATTTCCTGAGGCCCAGGCGGCCACTCAGAGTGGACCGCTCAACCCCACTTAATCCCAAATCCTATAGCACCCTCACATCACCATTTGCTATCCTTCCCCTGAACTTTTCATTAGCACGGTTGGCTGCGTATGGTGAGAAAGAAGTTCCACACACACATACATATATAGTACCCCTCACAAGCATCCAGGTCTGCTGACCCTGTCTCAGTCCATCGGAGCCCTGACATTGTGGCGGTCGCCCCTCCCTAATTTGACGAGCGTCTTGTAGTCCACCCTGGGTTTCCTTCAATGGGGCCATTGTTCTGGTAGGGCAAGGAAATCCCCAGGCATGATACTCTCCTAGTTTCCGCCATCACTGGCGGAGTCCAATGGGTTTTTTTTTCTGTTCTCCGAAGGTAGGGGATGTCTTCCCATCCTACATCTCCTCGGGAAGATTGTCAAGTCTCCCAGGTCCTCCCAATGATTTCTCGGCCTCGACATCTCCATTGGTCTCCCTCGGCTATGGTTGAAACCTCTTCCACCTCTAGCTTTGGGTGGCTTGTCACCCCTACGTCCCAGAGGTCCCCCGGGGGCCAGTCTTCTTCGTCGAGGTTCTCATCGCGACCCAGAGTTTCCCGTGCTTCAAGTTCCGGGTGCAAGGCCGGGCTAGTGTCCACGGGCCCATTCCTGGTCCCCATTGGTTGAGCACTGGACAAGTGGGAGGCGTAGCGGTTCAGCCCTTTGGCTGTCGTGCGCGGAGCCTCCTGTTGGTTAGCATCGGGCATGTGGGGATAGTGACTCTACCATTCGATATTAGCGTGTGAAGTCTCCCATCAGCCAAAATTCTGAGCACGTGACAGAGGAAGTGGATGTTTTATTGGGTGCGGAGCGAGACTCTAATTGGGTGTTTGTAAAGCGGTCACTAATTGGCTATTTTATGAGCGGCAGTTTTAAAATGGCTCTTGGCACATGGTAACAAGGGTGACAGTGGCAGCTGGGGTATATACGGGATGAGCAAATGGAACTTTTGCTTCAATTTTCTGTGGTGAATCGTGTCTTTAATAAAACCCTGTTAAAGTCTCTACCCATGTGCTGGAAAATTCTCTCCAATGTACATAGCGTATGTGTGTTTAATGACTACTGTTATAAGGGCGAGCGATGGTTGTACCTCGGTAGTTGACAATCTCAGTGCCCAGAACGGGAGTCATCTCCAGCACGGTTATGAAGGCCTTGTCCATCGAGGTGAGTGGGAAGGAGGACGATCGAGACCTTCGAGACATCTTTGTGATGTCCACTGCGCTATGGCCTGCGCACAGGACACAACACTGCCTACCTCACATAGCAATCTCCACATTCTACAACACTGCCTACCTCACATAGCAATCTCCACATTCTACAACACTGCCTACCTCACATAGCAATCTCCACATTCTACAACACTGCCTACCTCACATAGCAATCTCCACATTCTACAACACTGCCTACCTCACATAGCAATCTCCACATTCTACAACACTGCCTACCTCACATAGCAATCTCCACATTCTACAACACTGCCTACCTCACATAGCAATCTCCACATTCTACAACACTGCCTACCTCACATAGCAATCTCCACATTCTACAACACTGCCTACCTCACATAGCAATCTCCACATTCTACAACACTGCCTACCTCACATAGCAATCTCCACATTCTACAACACTGCCTACCTCACATAGCAATCTCCACATTCTACAACACTGCCTACCTCACATAGCAATCTCCACATTCTACAACACTGCCTACCTCACATAGCAATCTCCACATTCTACAACACTGCCTACCTCACATAGCAATCTCCACATTCTACAACACTGCCTACCTCACATAGCAATCTCCACATTCTACAACACTGCCTACCTCACATAGCAATCTCCACATTCTACAACACTGCCTACCTCACATAGCAATCTCCACATTCTACAACACTGCCTACCTCACATAGCAATCTCCACATTCTACAACACTGCCTACCTCACATAGCAATCTCCACATTCTACAACACTGCCTACCTCACATAGCAATCTCCACATTCTACAACACTGCCTACCTCACATAGCAATCTCCACATTCTACAACACTGCCTACCTCACATAGCAATCTCCACATTCTACAACACTACCTACCTCACATAGAAATCTCCACATTTTACAACACTGCCTACCTCACATAGCAATCTCCACATTCTACAACACTGCCTACCTCACATAGCAATCTCCACATTCTACAACACTACCTACCTCACATAGAAATCTCCACATTCTACAACACTGCCTACCTCACATAGCAATCTCCACATTCTACAACACTGCCTACCTCACATAGCAATCTCCACATTCTACAACACTGCCTACCTCACATAGCAATCTCCACATTCTACAACACTGCCTACCTCACATAGCAATCTCCACATTCTACAACACTGCCTACCTCACATAGCAATCTCCACATTCTACAACACTGCCTACCTCACATAGCAATCTCCACATTCTACAACACTGCCTACCTCACATAGCAATCTCCACATTCTACAACACTGCCTACCTCACATAGCAATCTCCACATTCTACAACACTGCCTACCTCACATAGCAATCTCCACATTCTACAACACTGCCTACCCCTCACACAACAATCTCCACATTCTACAACACTGCCTACCTCACACAACAATCTCCACATTCTACAACACTGCCTACCTCACATAGCAATCTCGACATTCTACAACACTGCCTACCTCACACAACAATCTCCACATTCTACAACACTGCCTACCTCACATAGCAATTTCCACATTCTACAACACTGCCTACCCCTCACAACAATCTCCACATTCTACAACACTGCCTACCTCACACAGCATAGAACACTACGTATAAATACCTCGCGTAGCAATCTCCACATGATACACGTCAATGTCGTGCTGTGTTAAGCGATTTCATTACACAATCTCAACACACGTCGCCTTTATGCCACGTGCAATTGTTACGGCTGTGTATCATGCAAAGCCAGAAAGAGAGAGTATACATACACTTACTTGACCTCAGAATATTTTCCTTGCTGCTGCAACGTGACTGGACCTGAAACGGAACACAGCTAAATATTGGTGACGTTTCATTAAAATGCATTCATATCCAACGTCTAAACTGACCTTGTCACGACACAGCATAATGTTCCCTACAGTGAAATGTCTGAAAGGTTCATGAAAACCTATTCAAATAGATTTTTTTTGTGAAACAATAAACAAGATCGTGTTAAAAATTTTACAAAAACCAATGCCTGTACCGGTAGTAGCCTCGTGTCTACTCGAGGCATTATCCAGTTAATAGTGTCTGACGGTGCACTGGTGACTGTGATGTTACTTTGCACTGATCTGTGATTGTAGATCGTATTGCATACGTGTGTTTAACTCAACATACACACAAAACATAATTATTAATACGATGTCAAATTTCTACAATATCTCAAAACCCAGTGCTCACAGCATTACAATAGTAATGAAAAATAGATTTACAATGCCTGTGATGAGAAGTCAAACGTACATTAGTTGATTAAAGGGTAAATGCAGTAGATACAGTGGGAAAATATATTGGTGAATTTTCCGAAACTTAAGCTACCAATTCATATTTTTAAAGTACATTTAACAATGAATTGTAAAGTGTATTGGGTCACGATCACATTTCTTCCAAAATATTTCAATTGCCCCTTGCTAATATTTGAGTATGAATGGGAAAATATCTTACTAAATTCTAACGTTTCAGTTTGGGCAGGGAGTGTTATGAATGGGCAGTCAGAACCCAAAGCAGTCGGACAGCCTTGAAGACAGCCGTGGGCGGGCGGGGAGGCAGAGGTAAATTAGGCGGGCCAGGGGTGAGCTGGCAGGAGATGTACGTACGTTGAACTTATTTCGCACCGTACGTAGCCAACCGTGTGGGGGGAGGACAACAAACTAAAACACAACAAGCAAGCAAATTTCGATTTAAAGCTTTCGTGACTGCAGGGATCCATCTTCTTGGTTCTTTCGGTAAAGTCACGTAGAAGGGAAGTAATAAAATAATAAAAATAAAACATAATAAAATAAAATAATTCTCACGACGTTTCGGCTACAACGCAAGCAGCAGTCTTCAGGTGAAGAATGAGACACTACCAAACTAAAGTATAAACTACATATGTAGTTTATACTTTAGTTTTCTACGTTGTTGTTTAGTAACTGCAGCTACATACTATTAACATTCTTTTCCTTTGTTAATGCTACTGCACCCCTCCTTGGAGCTGTTGATCCTGCATAATGCATGGGCATAATATGACTATGAAACCCCCCCACCCACCTCCTACGCATTTCCCATGAATATGCTAATTTCCTCTTCATATGCACATTATTTTTGTTAAGGCGCTCTTGCACCTCCAACGCAGCGTATATATAAGCTCCTAGCTTGGTAGTGTCTCATTCTTGACCTGAAGACGGCTGCTTGCGTTGTAGCCGAAACGTCGTGAGAATTATTTAATTTTATTATGTTTTATTTTTATTATTTTATTACTTCCCTTCTACGTGACTTTACCGAAAGAACCAAGAAAAAGAACAAGCAAGCAGTTCTAAAGAAATGACTTTGTCAATCTAGACGAGTTAAAAGTGCATAGCTCCAGTGGTATTAGAAGGAAGAGTATTCCAGACGGCTGCAGAAGGGCTTCTGAAAGCACGGCGATGCGGTGACCATTTTTGTTCGATAGTTAGCCAAAAGCGGCTGCTGCGAGGATGACCGAAGTTTGGGCGATGTTTTATGCTCCTTGACGAGATCAGCAAGTAATTGTGGTTCGTTTGTGGTGAGCACTTTGTGTGTAATGAGCGCAACCTTATAAGTTGGCATGGCAATGAGCCATGGTTGACAGGGGATGGAGAGGGAGGGCACTGGAAAGCCCATGTGGCGTATGGCATAATGGACCAATGGTCAACGCGGGTTGGATAACGACGGGTGGGGTCACGCAGGAGACGGCAGGGTCAAGGGCAGAAGCGACCGCGGGCGGGAGGTGGGGGTCCCGGGGGGAGCGACGCGAGGCCACCGCGACCACGGCGTGCGGAGAGAGTGCCGGCAAGGAGAGAGGAGGGGGAGGTTGGCGGGACGGAGTGTGGGATGGAGAGCACGGGAAGGGAAAGGAGATTTGAGTAGCCGAGTGGTGGAGAGGACGAGTGGTGGAGTATTCAGCGGGCCTGGAGGCTGGGTGGACAACAAACTACGAGGAGTGTCCACGTTCTGGATAGGGAATAACTCCTCACTGTGACGGCCGTCATACACTTATTATTTTGCTGCCGCTACTGTTCAAGGAGGTTCTAATAAACTCGCCCCACACTGAGAGAGAAGACTGTTATTGCCCCTGGTCATCCTGGTGGTCATTGCCATCGTGTTGCCTGCTGAGTAGGGAAATGCAAAGGCAAATTCTAGTTCATCGTTTTCTAAAAGTGACTGAAAATTCAGGCAGTCTATTTGAACTGTCTTTAAATACCATGAGGGGTTTAACATTCAGGTGATTTATTTGGCACGCTTTTATAGTGCCGAGTTTACGATAGGAACAATAATGGTAAACAGTTAAGGGAATACGTCATAGTCCTAACCATTGTATTTACAAATCTCAATTGACAACGCGCATCTTAATGCACAACCCCTAAACGCACAATTACATTATAAACCATTGCTGCGGTTTTACAAAAGTAAATATGCATTCGATATTAATAAACAAAATCACTGAGAAGTAATGTTTGTATATGTGAGGGTTGGTTCAGGCTAACGCCTCTTCAAGGCACTCTTGGGAGAGCCTCCGAAAGGCCCAAACTCAAATTTCCCCGACAGGGGTTCCACGGGCGCTGACATACACGTGGGCATCTCTACACCTAAGAATCCGCACCTCCGATTAGCACAGTTGGCTACGTACGGTGTGAAGGAAGTTCAACATACATACAAACATTCATAAGACACCTTGTCTTATGTTTAAAGTTCCAACTTCAAATCAGAAATTGCCACCACGATGATTAAAATATAAGCAATTTCGCAAAGTCTAGACGGAATTTGTTCAGGGGTAACAGATGTATTAAAATATTTAGGTTCCCGAGAAATGGTGCACGAGAAGGAACAAGGCAACGCAACGCTTGAGTTCACAAAGCAACGCAAAGAGAAGTGGTTCTTAAGATCCTTAAACTACTAGAAGCAGAGGTCAAATAGGCAAACTCCAGGCTAGATGCAGTCTAAAGCATTTTTATTTAAGGTTTAACCGGATCAACACGCCTATTCGGAGTCATCAACATAAATTTAAATGAGATCCATAGCACAGGGTTAAACATTCAGGGCAAATTAAAAGGATAAATCTAAACAACGGATAGGCCCTTCTGATAAATTCCAATACTTAGTTTCAGTTAACCCTGGCCATAGTCTAAAGCTAGAGGAAACAATGGGACTATGAGTTTATTGGTCAAACGAATCTCAGGAATAAAAGATTAATAGAAGGAAAATAAGAGCAATCGGGTTTCCGACATATCATGGGACCTTTATACTTTTTTCCTCTTGGCGTTCTCTGCTCTGACACTGGTGGTGAGACCAAGCCATGGCACGAAGGCTGTCTCTGGTGTAGGCCAAGCTGCTTCAAAGACAATTCCCATATATTATTTATCAGAGCATGCTAGTTTGCATGTTCACCACAAGTACGTGTGGTTAATGCAGACTTGATTCCTTGCAAAATGTATCTATTTGGTGTTTGAACATATTAAGACCTGTTTCATTTCAAGAAAGGCGAAAACCTATTCTTATTTTTTATCATAGGGTTTCCTACCACTGGCCATCGACCAACCAGGTCAAGAGAAGTGAAATAAAGTCTACAGTTCGCCGATCCGTGATCCAGGACACAGGCTCGCAGACATTGGACATAGTGCCGAGCACAATTGCTCTATCTTCTTGGTTCTTTCGGTAAAGTCACGTAGAAGGGAAGTAATAAAATAATAAAAATAAAAATAATAAAATAATTCTCACGACGTTTCGGCCACAACGCAAGCAGCCGTCCTCAGGTGAAGAATGAAACACCACCAAGCTTGGAGCGTATATTTAAGCTGGGTTGGAGGGGGGGAGGTGGGAAGAAGAGTGCCTAGACAAAATAATTTGCATATCAAGAGGAATTTAGCATATGGAAAATGCGTAGGAGGTGGGCGGGGGGGGGGTTTCAAATTAATATTATGCCCGTGCATTATGCAGGATTAGCAGCATCAAAGGGAGGAGGAAGGGGGGTAGCATTAGCAAAGGAAAGTTAATAGTATGTAGCTGCAGTTGCTAAACAACCACGTAAAAAACTAAAGTATAAACTACATAAACAACTAAAGTATAAACGACATAGCATCATCAGTATACTTACTATACTCTACAATAAGCTGAGTTACTAACAGTAAGTAATACATTACAATTCTACGTCGTAAAAATTATATAATATGCTTCCATCTAAACTTTGTTCTCTTACATCACACGAGTCTACACCGTACTACATACTGCCATAGACAAACCCAACATTAAATTATATACTGTATTGCTATAAACCACTATGTATTATTCTACCCACCCTAATGTATATCACACTGCTATATGTTTACTATACAATTACGATACTATATAATACTTTGTACATTGTATTAAGCATATAAATGTTATACTATTTGTTATTATACACTGTACTATTGACCGTCGTGTCAATGGGTGAGTCGTGGGGGGAAAACTTGCAGCGGAGCAAAGAATCCATTCCCTGCGGAGAATACAATGCCAGTGAGTGGAACGCGGTCTGAAAGTCACCGTAAACGTGAACACAATCAGTTAAGATCCGAAATGGTTTATTACGTTCTTCCAATGATTGCTAAGCCAGAATCCATCTTCTCGGTTGAAATTAGTCTCTGTGTTTGTATATGTGGATCGCCTCATGAACAAATCTCTCATGATAGCCAGATGGCTTGCAGAGAACCTCTGTCTTGGAGAAGTCAATGTCATGTGAACCCACTGAGTTGTAACAGTGGTCTGCCACGGCTGAGGTGTTTGTCCTACCGTGTTTCAGGTCTGCTTTATGTTCACGGATGCGGTCTAGTCAACCGAGTGAAAGATCTCGGACACGCTGCCGAGCAACGTCGCAGAGGTTGCAGAGCTTACAAGGTCACCAGCAGCAACGAACGAGGCAAAGTTTCAGACATTCGCAGGGCTTACGGGGACTCGGACAGAGATGGAGCCGAGTTGCAGAGGTTGCAAGGACTCACAGGTGGGCAAGGTACGGACTGAGCTGAGTTGCAGAGGTTGCAAGGACTCATAGGTGGGCAAGGTACAGACTGAGCCGAGTTGCAGAGGTTGCAAGGACTCACAGGTGGGCAAGGTACGGACTGAGCTGAGTTGCAGAGGTTGCAAGGACTCATAGGTGGGCAAGGTACGGACTGAGCTGAGTTGCAGAGGTTGCAAGGACTCACAGGTGGGCAAGGTACGGACTTAGCCGAGTTGCAGAGGTTGCAAGGACTCACAGGTGGGCAAGGTACGGACTGAACAGGGTTGAAGAGGTTGCATTGTTTCGAATGTAGCATTTTTAGTAGAAATGTTTTATATTTCCAGTACATTGCTATTGTCACCATCATAATATAAACATTCAACATAAACACAAACGAATACAAAAAAAACAGCTTCATTAAAAACAAATTTTATCGTATGATTTGCAATATGCCGGATATCGCCTATAATCAGAAAGGGTATCCCCTCAATGAGTCCAACTTAGAGGTTTTACCGTACAAAGTGGTGTAAATGTCCCAGTATACAATACAAGGGTACACGACACCGGCACTTCTCAACACACCCAGCACTTCTGATAATGGTTCCGATTCCTTCGCTACGACGTTTCCACGGAGGGGAAACGGCGGTGAACCCGGACTGCCGGACGAATGGATTCCATTCCGGCACTTCTACCCATCTATTTCAACCACTGTCTGCACACGAAGGTGAGGAAGGCGATAGAGGGGATGGCTGTGGAAAATGTTACACGATGACCTGGGGAATGGAAACGATTACACCGTCCCCAACAGGTGGATGAACAACAACAAGAAGAGAGAGCACACGAGAAGGGGAAGACACACTTGGAAACACGCCCTGTGCGCTGGGCATCATGGAGGATGGAGTGGGTTGATCATCGGACACATGGTGAAGAGCCGGCAAGGGGAGAGCTACGTAGGGAACGCTTCCATTAGACCTGCAGAGACACGACAGGAGAACGGCAGCTGTGCAGCAACAATGGCGGCAGGTTTGACATCTTCACTCGACGAACGTTCGCTTCTTAATTAACTCACCTGGGATGACACCTCGTAATCATTTGCCCCATCCTTGCAGACTTGTGCCGAGTCACTTTATGATGCACAGGGACGGCTGCCGCGGGGGTGCCCATTGAACGTGTGAGATGAGATGGTGATGAAAGGGCGCTTTGAGATGCTCAAGTGTTAAAAAAGCACTGTACATAATATGAAAAATTTGAATGATTTTCTTTGATCAAAGCGGAGAATACGTCCGCAATCCTTTAAAAAAAATCATACAGAATAAGGAAATGCCACCTACATTTTTATTTTGATAGTTCCCGGGTTTTATTTTTAGAAGGGGTCAAGCAGAGAGAAATGCTTGAATCAACGTTGTTCATAACAGCATCAGAAGCTGTTACCTCAGGTTGTTTTTAAAAAAAACCAAGCCATGAATTCACTATATTATTCTGCAACACCCTTCCTTTAAAAAACACTCACTGCGGGAGTTGGCATTTAGACTCAATAACGAAACAATTATGGGTAAAGAAAGATCTCGCCAAGGTGACGCCTCTCCAACCAATGATTTCACCTCCGGGCATTTCGACGGCCAATCCTGAGGCCTTCGAAGTCGATGCCAGGTCCACGTGCCAGTTCCCTTGGGTTAGACCCAGGGGGACGGCACCCTGTGGCATCGGAGCCGCTAAGCGGCTCTTTAAAACGACTGCTTCGTGACAGTTATTTATTAAGGACCCAGCGTCTCTTACTCACACGCACTGCGGCTTTTGAAGTATTGAGTTTTTTTGTTTTACTGAATTCGAAAATAAATGCCTCTTCTTGTTATTCTGCTTGCCACCGACCCCTGGGTTAGCTGCTCAGGAGGCCCCAACGATGCCCACGCTGACCTGTTCTGCACAGACAGCGAGCCTGCTTGCCAAGGTACAGGGGTTGAACCGCTTTCCCCGACCCCTCACTCTCTTCCCTGCTGTCTGATTGCGTGACTCTAGAGCTATTTTAGATCCTCCTCCCGAGGGCAGGAGAAGCATCCCTTTGGTGAGATCTTTCCTTACCCATAATAAGTTTTATAGATTTTAATGGCTTTCATTTTTTTCGTGAATTCCAAATAATTATCTGTTAAAAACGGGTGATGGACGTGAGGAAGAGGTTTAACTTGGCCATGGAAGCAACTGCATCTGGACATCTGCACTGCATCTTGGCTCTGCTACATGCAACTGGAAGCCAAAAGGTCCCTAGCCAAGCGCACCTGAGCACGAACTAAAACCACGGAAGAACCCCAAAATAACCAAACACTTAAAACTAAAAAGTGCACACGTTGCTCACTTTGACTTCAATAATTAATGCTTCGACCACTCGCGCTCTAATCCCTGTCTGCTCTGCTTCATGGCCAAGTTAAGAGCAGCGCTCTGCTTGGTGCTGCGTGTGGCAGGGAGGTGCCTTGCCCCGTCTCGTGCGCTCATTGCTGTGCTCCACGGCTGTGATCCAGCACTGTGGAGCCGAGGGTTGGTGGGTCACGTACGTTTGTAAAAACTACCCACGCGCGTCAAGGTCGCCATTTCCTGGATTTCCGGGTTAAGGCAGTACAGCAAGTGGGTTAATTTCCATCTGTACGTGGGTTGAATATTGCCTCCACCTCCACATCCCTCCCACCACACATGGCTTTCTCTGGGTACTCCGGTTTTCTCCCCACATGTATAAATACTGATTCGCGAAGTTGGCCAAACAAGCCCGATATAGGACCGCAGATCTTCGGCGTCTGCCCTACGTCCTATCTGCCTCCAGGTTACCCGCACCTCCGCGCGTAAACTGCGCGCGTTACAAATTCTACAGCGTTCTGAGATGCAATTCCAATGCCTCCGTTACAGACGACACTTATATTGCACACACATGAACATGTACACACAACATACATGATGTACGCACAATACGTACATCCGCGCACGTTGATATATTACCCGATGTGTACACACATGTAAGTGGTATTCGCCAGCACGCACAACATGATATTCCAACCTATAAAATATCAAACTGCGAACATATCTCAAGATACCGTTTGGAAGCAGGGGGGACATACATTGTGGAGAGAGTGGCGACGTGTCGCGGTGAGCGTGTGAGGAGGGATGAGGGAGCGCTACGATGCACCGTGGACACCGTACAAACACCTTTTCATAGGCTGCAGCACCTGGTGTTAAACTCAGCTCTGCGTTTAGCAATGCAAGTCGCTCCCCATCCATCGATCACCAAGATCTCGGTGTCAATGCAGAGACACGTGCACTGACCCTTAGTTTCCGCTTAAGTCATCTCCTGATTTCCCATAAATTTTAAATGTGCTGGCGCACGACGGTACACCGTGCCGGCTCGTCTCCCAACACTCCCCACTCGCGTGCGAACCGGCGCCACTCCCCGGGACGTCCGAAGCTCAAAGCGACGCTCGTTCCGTATAGAGGACGCGACGGTGATCGTGGGGCTCCGCTGCAGCACTACGAGGTGGCGATACCGCACCGTCACGGGGACAAATTCCACCGTCATGTATGCTGCATGCGTAAACGGAGAGTAATGGACATTACCAGGCTTACTTTGGGGGTGGGACAGGAAGCGGTGGAGAGGCGCGAGGTGGAGTGAGCGCGCGGGGACTCGGACGGGGTTGTGCTCAGTGACGCACTGTCCCTGGGAAACACCTGGACCCCTCTTGAGATGATGGACTCGGGGATCTGTGCACGGCGCCACACACAGCAATGGTCACTACCGAAGACAAACTGAAGAACATCCATCTCCTTTAATAGGGAGTTTTAGCGTCCAATATGATTCGTAATAGATTTTTTTCTGGTTATGCCACATAGTGACATGGGCACAATCTCTTTTGTCGTAAATCCCTCCACCATCCGAAATAGCCAAACAAATTAAATTGTCATGAGTAAAAGCCTTCAAGGCGCCAATGACTGTTGTTGTTAAGCAACAAGCAAGGTACTCTAATGAGGAAATCATGTCTTCGATCCAATAGGTGGGGAAAATTCCTGGTTGCAGTGGCAGGGGCGAGTCTATCCAACGGACAACCACTTTTGACTTCCCCACAAATCGGTACTGATTTTATCGACATTGGAGGGATGAGGGCTGAGTGAATCATCAACCAGGATTTGAACTCGCAGCCTTTCTGATTTCAAGCCGCTCGCTCTGCTTGCCAAGCCGTTTTGCCGGTTTGAGATGGCGTCCCGTCCCGCTGCCGACATTCCCTGCAAAATGAATGCCCCTTACGAGCAGACTGCAAAATGAATGCCCCTTACGAGCAGACTGCAAAATGAATGCCCCTTACGAGCAGACTGCGCGTATCGCACGGCACGGTGAGCAGTGCACCGCAATCTTCGCCGCTTCCCCGTCACGCACAACCCCTCCGCCAAACTCGACCGCTGGGCAACTCCAAGGGAACCGCACCGAGAGACGCACAGACCCTGACCTCCCCGCGCCACCTGAGCTCCCGTTTACCACCCATCCGGCTTTGACCCGTTCAAGTCTGGGAACTGACATCTGCGTTTTGGTGGCAGAAATCGATTTGTGCCGAGATCTGGTAACTATATAGTTGACCGAGATATCTTAAATGTGACGTGTACACCGCGTGGAGGAGTTTTGTACTGTAGTTGCGTCGTCAGTGCTCGCGTTGCTATGGCTGAGGAATGCTGCTTTTAATGAACGACGTGGACCTGTTTGCGGACGGCACAACCCGACGGCTGCTCGACGCCCCAGAAGAACGGGGCAACGTCACTCCGTGCCTTCAGGGGGACCTTCAGAGCATTAGGGGGAAATGGGCAGAAAAGTACACCGGGTAAAACATCAATGGGACACTGAACACATCGACAAGAAATATCCACGTTCTACCCAACATACTCACCGTCAGGGTCAAGTAAACACGCTAACAAATGGAGAGGTCGCAGTTATGCTGTAATATGAGTGATATAATTTCTCACATTTTGAAGCAGGCAGTTTTATATGACAGTAAACGTTTGTCAAGACTGCTGGTGATTAACGAATTAAGTACGCAAGCAATACGTCTTCTTCCATATCTATCTCTCAAAATAAAATAAAATAATTTTTTTACATAACCCAGCAGCCACACAGGATCCTGGGGGCACATAATATCAGATATGTGAAGGAGGTGGATGGTCTGCTCATTTAATTTGTTACTTATATTCTCCACAACGACGCATTTCATGAGTGTGCGTTAAAATCTATATATTCACACCAATTAAAAAAATTACACAGCTTCACACCACAATTAATTTTCTGATTTTACATCACTGGATTTCAATCGACGCACGCCGCTAAATCTACATATTCAAACCACAGCAGATTCTACAAGTCCTTACCACAGCAAATTCTGTATATTCACCTCACAGTGAGTTGTACATCTCACCGCTGTAGATTCATTATGCAGCTTATCACCCACCTACTGCAGCAGGGAAGAGGCGAGCACACACACTCACCTGGAGTGCCATTAGGCTAAGGGAAGGCAATAAAACTACACGTGACAAAACTATACAAAACAGATGAAACGAAAAAGATTCCATTCTTGATTAATTGTGGTGTTGGATCGCTGCAGCCCTGCGCCATACCACAGACCTTCCCCGCTGGACCCTGGCACCACTCAGCAGTGATGGCTGAGCACCCAAACACGGCAGTAGACCCCTAAGCCACCTGTTTGTTTATACGCTTAGGGTCGCTTTTTCTTTCGCGCTGAGTTTTTACTTTATTCCGATTGGGCTCTTGACATCTTGTCACTAGATAGCGGCCATTTAGAACTCTCGCGGAGCACTGCATCACCGCGTGTGTTAGAGAACAGCTCAATGGAAGTAGATATCACAGAACTACTTCGAAGCCCCCCTTTCAAGTGACTTATTTTTATCCACACACTAAGGAGCATATTTAATGTGCCCCAAGAAGAGTTTAACTATTTTGGCATTGTAAGATCAAAACCATTGTTCGTACGTCCTTTTGAGCTCTGGATGGCCAAGATCTCAAGATCATAATGTCATCATAAGGCCACCATCACCTCACGAAGGCTTTATACCCTCTGCAAGACACCGCGGCTGCTGCACGGGAGACACGCCGCCATCTCCAAGATATGCCCCGATAGTCTCCCGCCATCTACTCGTTTGGCCTTTCCCTCGGTCTCCGCACTCGTGAAGACCGCTCCGATGCTCGTCGTTTGACAAAATTGGCCCTCACCCACCCAGCTCGCGTCCCACCCAGCCTCTTCACAAAGGCAACATTTTTACTCGCCGAGCTGCATCGGTGTTCCGGTTGCCGAACGAATACATGACAAGTGCTCGCCACAAATGAACCAAACAGCTTGCTGATCTCGTCAAGGAGCACAAACCATCACGTGAACTCTGGTCATCCTCGCAGCAGCTTTTGGCTGGCTGTCGAACAAAGACAGCCACCGCATTGCGCAATTTCAGATGCGCTTCTGCAGCCATCTGGAACGCTCTTCCATCCTATGTTAGGAAGCCACTGGAAACAGGCACTTTTAAATCTATATCGAAAACTAATTTCTTTAGAACTGATTTTTGTGTTCAGTTTGTTGTCCTTCCCCCGCACCTCCGATTTGCACGGTTGGCTACGTACGGCGCGGAAGAAGTTCAACATACATGCATTGTACGATCGCACGGAGCGAACCTTGCCGGTGATGACTGACGAGGTGTTCTGCGAGGAGGAGCTGTCCTCCGTCGAGGAGACACCGCTGTCCTTCTTCCCCTCCTCCTCGTCCTCGCACTGGATGCCCCGGTCCACGGTGAAGCGTTGGCCGGGGAGGCCGGGAGGCGGGGTGGGAGGAGGAGGCGGCGACGGCAGGTTGTCCAGCTCGGGATGCGACCCCTTGCCCTTCACCATCGCGTCGCGCAGCAGGTCGACGGCGTGCGGCAGAGCCGGCAGGATGAACTGGAAGCACTCCTGTCGAGCGCGTCGTCGAACAACATCACGGGGGGGGGGGGGGGGGCACATCCGGCGAGTAAATCGCACGGCTCGAACAACCACCGTTAACCCGTTTCCCGTTCCGATAACGCACGTGTAGGGCATCAGTTTTTCTTCCGGTTCCGTTCCGATGACGTCTGTGTATGTGTCCGTCATCAGAATAAAATCAGAAGAAAAAATAAAATAATTGTATCGGTACTGAGCCTCCCACAAGGCCATGCGGGGAGGGAGTGTGGCACAGTTTGGCACCAGCTATCTTAGAGTGCGGTCGTGTAGCCACAGTTCTCTGCGGTGAGTACAATGTCCAATCAAAACAACGGCGCTACGCCTCTCCAGATTAAATTTACGCCGAGCCACTTGCTCGTTCCAGAGGTGAACGGGACACCCACCCTGCAACTTGCACTCGTCTCAGAACAGGAAAGGGTCACATCACATGCCAAGTAAAAATTGTATTCATATGACGATGAGGAAAATGCGTCTTGCCATTTTGTGGTTTTGTGGTTAGTTTCAAAAGGTCTCACTTTGAGTTTTATTTGTATTGTTTTGAAAGACATGACCAGCTGTTTTTATTTAATAAATAAAAATTACACCGGACAATCCCTCGAGATGGACGCATCTCATTTGCAAGGGAGTCCAGGGTGCCGATTGACACGTACATTGCAAACGCGTCGCGACACGTTTACGTGCGTTACATCTGCCTCATACGGTGTGCATTCATACAGAATCAGAATCTTTATTTATCCTGGAGAAGGCCGGTGAGCTTCAAATCCCCTTTCACAGATGCCCAGAAGTAATATACGAGTGATATAATGTAACGAAAACCACACCCAAAAACATAAATTAATACGTAATTAGATGATACACACCAACGGTAAATATAGAATGTTCCCTCGCTGTAGCGGTTGCAAATGTTGTGCAAGTCTAAACTAAAGATGGGAATAAGTTAAGTCTGGGAGAGTGTTCCATGTTTAAGCAATTCAAATGTTCTACTGTATGCAACATATTCTCAAATTGTATGTGGCTGCCTTGTGGTGTAGCGGGTTTGAGAAAATGGAATTGTCAAAGCGAAAAAACCTTGAGCAACTTGTCAATCAATGCCTCCGTCACAGACCAGCTCATCACCTGAGGGGTCCGCCCCACTCACGGTGTGGATTGAATTTGTGGGGACAAATTATTCCGGTGAAAACGCTGCTCAAATCAATCTTTTCACAACTCAATCGGCATTCAGAGGGCTCTTCAGAGGTGGGGGCACTGGGCAGAGCCGACGGTGGAGCTCGGATCCAACTGGCATTCTCGTTGGGGTTTGCCTGCCTTTCATCAGCGTCAGCATCACGCTCATAAAATATCCATGTTTTATCTTTTCAGCCCACGCTACACATCAGGGCACCTGCGTACACAGCACCCCTTCTTGTGGGGCTTTCATGCAGCCAAAAATATTCAAGTTTAAGAGTGAAATGTATTTAGTTTAACCAGGTGAGAACTCAAGAGACAAGGATATTCCCATTTGCAAGAGTGACCTGGCTTACCAAAACGGCAAAATCAAATGATGTAAACACAGAAACGAAACAAACACAGAAATCAGAGCAAAAAAAACTATCGAGTACATTAGAAATTACAGTAAAAAAACGTGTTCCAAAAAAATAATGCACAAACATTATTGATATTAAATCTATTTCCAACGACAAAAGCTGACTAAACAAATCGTGCGGCCGACCGATGCGATGCGCAACGTGCCCATGTGCAATTTCACCGCGCCCATGTGCGATTTCACAGTGTTTCACCGTACCCACATGCGATTTCACCATGCCCACGTACGATTTTATCATGCCCACGTGCAATTTCAGATGTGCCCACGTGTGATCTGACCACGTTCCTCGCTACCACCTAACTCGCGCCCACTAATCTGACCTTAATGTCCCCATATCCACCTTCATTATTTATCTGCCCAAAGGAGGAGTCCAGCTCCCTGTCCTCTCTCATAAATCTTTGCACAACGGGGCAGTTGCTGGTTCGATTCAGCTGCCCTTATAATTTAAACCCTTCATCTCCCCGGTTCACGGTTTACACTCTCTCCCAGTGTTTACATCAGAGAGGCACCTGTCATCCTTGATATGTAATTTATTTTGTGAGTCTTCTCTTGGCAGCATTATTTAACATTATTTATTATATATATAGTTGTAAATGTTTGGTAGTTTGCTTATTAACATCTTGGCCATGTACCTCTATTATTCATTAAACATTTGCGTACACTTGAAGCGGTAAATGTCGTAAAGTAACAGAGTGGCCTGACACCCAAAAACAATACCGATCATAACTGTGAGTGTGTTGTGGGTGCTACATTGCAATGGGTGATGCATTTATATTGGTGATATTGTTCAAACGTTTATTTTTCTATTTTTAGCCATTAATTTATTTAACCTAGAAAACGCCTCGAGATGGAACATCTCGTTTGCAAGCGTGGCGCTCCGGGACTTCGATTGACACACGCACAGCGATCGCACGACGAGCCTCATCGAAAGACGCTCCACGTCGATGGTAACGCAGTATGGGTTGGGTCCACCATTATAAATGCGCACAGGCCGAGCGCTCGTGTGAATCGCCGCTTCGTGTGAGCAGAATGAACCCGTCGCCAGGTCCACGTGAACTCTGCCAAAATAAAGACGGCTCACCTGAGACCCTTTCTTGCTTCCTGGCAGGTTAATAATCAAGGTCTTTCCTCGAATTCCACAAACAGGGCTAAAATGTACAAAAAAACACAGGAATATTTCAAAAATAATCCAACCCAATGCATAGTACGCACATGCACAGTCTGTGAGGTATAACGTTGTTGCTTCATTCCTTATACTGATTAATACTTAAACAAAAGTTGGGTCAGATGACACGGTTATTCTAACTTTTATTTGGACTTCATGGATGTTGTTCTAAAGATGCTTGGCACAGTTCCAAACGAAACGTCGGATCTGATTGCTGACTTTGATTGTGACATTTGCCCTGCAACTCAGCAGTGAGCTGAAGCAATGAAAGTCGTGCGGGGCTGAGCACTTGCACAAGCGGCACATTTTTATTTGTTTGCCTACACAGGTCGGAGGGGTCTGACAACCCAGAATTTGCCAGATCAAAGTGGCCTTACCCAGAACATCAACTGTGAATCATATCACTGTGAAGACCTACACGTTAAGTTCATAATTAAAAACGCTTAATATTAAGGATTTATCTTTTTGAATCCTCTTGTCCATACTCGCCAGCAAGTTTAAGAGGTGTGCAGTGCAAAAAACATGACACGTGCTTCAAATGGACACATATTTTTGCGAAAAACATCTTGTTTACGAAAGTCTCAATGTTAAATTTACTGCACAATTCGAGAATTTTCCTCCGTCAATCTCAGCAGCGATGACAACAAGAATGCATCTCAGGCATGCGTTACCGTGAGAGCATTGCCAGCGGGGTGACATTGAGAGATCCCATCAGCATCGCCAAGGCCATTCCCGGGGCCTCCCGTTCTATCACGTCCCTTGTTGCCTGTGCGGGGGAAACAAACAAAAAGAAAAGATGCCTGTGTAGCCTCCGCGGCCTCTCGGGGCATGTGCAGCACCGGCGGAAGTGAAGTGGAGGCGTCACCTCTGGCGTGACGTCGCGGGGAGCAAACCCCGTGCCTCCGGACGTGAGCACGAGGTTGAGCTCCTTGTCGTCGCACCACTCCAGCAGGCTCTCCTGCAGCACCAGGCGAGATGGAGAGAGGGGGAAGGGAGAGGAAGGAGAGAGCAATCCGGCCGCAGCTCACGACAGAGAGAGAGCGGTCACTCGGCCCGGCGCCAAAGTGCCCGCCCACCGGCAAACTCGATCGCTCGCGTTAGTCGGTGCGCCAGTTCTACAATTCTTTTGATATTTTTTGTAATTGTTGTCGAGTTCACCGAGCAGCAGCCTGGACGTTCACAAATATAAGCCGCTGGCGGGGCGGTGATACAGCCCAACGGTAGTGCGTTTGCCGCTTGTTGCAGAGGTTCGTGGTGTGAAATCGGCAGGCTTCTCCGGTTAATACTTCGGTGGTGTAACAACCGTAATGTGTGTGCCATCTATCTATGACACCATTTTGCCAGTATCAAAATGATGAAAAAATAAAAATTGGCTTTACCCTTCCTTGCAATAAACCACACCAAATAGATACCTGTTGCAAGGCATCAAGTCCGCATAAACCCACACATACTTGTGGCAAAACACGCCAACAAACATGCTCTGATAATAATATATTCATTGTCTTTGAAACTGATTGGGGGGGGGGAGGTGGCACGTGCCCCCCCCAATGATCCGGGGACTCTATGAGATGATAGGACAATAGTCTAAGTCTATAATTGGCAGTTATAGGTGACTCACAGAATTGTGCGCAGTTGCGTATACAGTACACGACTTTCCTGAAGGCATACCTTCAGCGAGTGCGATGCCGATCACACAACGCGGTTCGAATTTGACCGTCGATCGATGGCTGCGCCATCGCCGCACACGCGTCGAATAAAAATCAAGGGGACAAGTCCTTACATTTTTCATTGCTGGAGGGGTTGCCCCCTCTACCTGAAAATCCTGGCTCCGCCATTGCCTACACCAATGCCGCCATCTGCTTCAAAGTTAAAATCTCGTGATGCCACGGTCCAAATTTGTAACATTAAAAAAAATTCGCAACGCAATTGTCGCTCTCTGTTGCAAAAACTGCCAAAATCCTCGTGGAAAAGAGGTCTTGAGACTCAGTGAGGCTTTCCTGGGTGAACAAGCGCAATGACAGCATTAGCATTCACTCACAACATCGCAACGGTGTAGCACAGTGGGAGCGGTTTCGGAGTGACGGGGCAAATGTGAACCCTCACCTTGATGTCCTCCATCTCCTCAGGAACAATCTTGTAGGCCGACACAATTCCCCCGAGCCTGCGGCGAACACACGTACGCATGAACACGAGCACGTGTGAACACGAGGATGAGTGAACGCGAGGAAGAGTGAACACGAGGCCGAGTGAACACAAGCACCAGCACACCGGGCGCGTGCCCACACAGCCACTCGCAGCTCGGTACTCGAACTGCCACGACGACGAACACCTGCCTCTGTCCCGACGTGACAAAGACTCAATTCATTCACCAACATGAACACTGTGACCTTAAAGAGAATATATCAATGTATGGGTGGTACACCGGTGGTGCGCAGTACAAAAAATTTAAATGTTCGCGATAATTCTTTTTTTTCCGTGATTTGCAACCCCAGTCAAAATATCTTGCCGGTGCGTCAAAATCAGTTCTCGTGATGCCGAAGTGGTCAGAATACGAACATTACAGGAGCAGCTGAAAACGAAGCTGCACCGTCTGTTAGCGTATAGCGGCACCCAGCCTGATTATTGGCTGGCTCCGTGTTGCAAAGGCAGCGAGATTTGACTCCTCATGCCCAGACTTGGTCAGACGATTCCTCGATTCATTTCCGGAATCGTTTCTTGGCGGACGGTGGCATCAAAAGATTACGACTCGTCGTGGTGTCACCACCACCGCACATTTGAATGGGAAAGCGGCTGCTGCATCTCAGGGCAACTTCTGATGGAGAGTCGGCAGCTCACTCGAGGGCAACACAGCGACATCGTCAGACTGGTTTTTGAGGACCGTTGTGTTGTGATGCTGCACCTGTGCACCGCCAGTGCATCCATATACTGGGTGTACAGGTGATGTTTTAAGAAAAGGTCATTCCTCTTAGCGCATAGAGAGGGATGAAACATATGACAGTTTGAGATTGCACCCCACGCAATCCCTCCAATGTCGTTATTGAATACCCTTCACTCAACGCAAATCGTAACTTTGTGCAACGTACTTGTAAAAAAAAGATATAACATTGGACACAATTTGCATTCTGACGTGAAGAAACACGATGCATAATTACTAATTTATTCACAAAGTGCACTGGGATCGCACGCATCAGCCTCGTGCGATCTACCTATCAGATGACTTGCGTACGCATTGCAGTAAGGCAGAAACAAAGTAATATTCTCTGCGAGAATGTAAACTGTCATCCCCCAGCCAGGGTGCGCGTTGATTAAATTTAACTTATTAAAATATTTCACCTGGAAAATCCCTTGAGAGGGAACGTGTTGTATGCAAGAGGTGCAGTGGATGCGGGTTGATGCACGCATAGCAAACAAGTCAGGGACGCGTGTGCACGCAATTTTATGTTTATTTTGTGATGAATCAGGTCCTGTGGGTTTCCAGTTGAAGGAATATTACTCAGAGCATTGCTGCCCAATTTGGAAGTCACAAAGTCACGCTGGTAACCAAGGTCGATTGAAGCCTATCTACAGTGACCTGTCACTGCCAGCAGGTACCACATTGACAACACCGAATGAGGTGGCTCATTCGTAATTTGTTTTTAATATCTTTCCAAAATGCCATGTTAAATACCAATTACAAACGTATGTTTGTATTTTTTCATATAGTCTATGCTAAAGATAAACGCACATATTTTACAAGTATGAATTATCATGAATAATTATTGTGTATGGCAATGGAATCCTTGTGTTACGTGATCATGTTTTATTTTTATGTGGTTATTTGTGCATATTTTATCTCACAATCGTTGCAGTGGTGGCGCCTCGGCCTGTAATGCAGCACCGTGGAGACAGCGAGGGTTGGGGATGATTGCACGAATGCTGTGAAACTCCTTTCCCGTGGCTGTAAACGGGCGCCACGGTGGCTAGTAAATGTTAACTACCTCGCCTGGTATACAGGAGGTCGTGGGTTCGATCCCAAACCTGACGCCTTTTGTATATTTGGAGTTTGCATGTCTCTGTCCCCGTGGTCGCGTGGATTTTTTTCAGGGTCATTCGGGTTTTCCCTCCATATTTAGAATCAACGTGCATTCAGAGTATTTGGCTCCTATAAATTTCCATGCGATAAGCCACTTCCTTGAGCTATCATTTGTGGCCAGGTCACTTCTGGAAAAGAGTTATATAGCTTGGTGGGCCTTACCAGCTAAAATACACATTGTGTAGTTTAGTTTAAGTAACGTATGGTTTGTCACGTAAACAAAACATGCTAATTCATTACTCGTACAGCACACCGGTTGGAGAGTAAACCCACAACATTTACAAAATTGTAACTGTTGTGGGTTTATTCTCCAATACACCGGTGTACTGTACTAGTGTAGTAACTAACTCGGAGACGATAAGACTTGGAGGCACTTCTTTTTATTTAATGAGCACCATCGGATTATACACAGCCTACGTGGGTACAGACACTACAGTCACTCGCCTATACACAACTCTACGTGGGTTGCTAGCCTATACACAACACTAACCGCCTAACACTGACGGCGCTGAACCGAGACAGCCAACAACGATCTAGCAGCGCAATATCGAGTGGAGACGACAGCGACGATGGCGACGAGACGACAGCGACGATGGCGACGATCTTGAACAGCACGACGGGGATCCCACTCCAGCGACAGCCACGAGGTCCCTCACAGGGGCCCTTCTATACTCTCAGCGTGGCTTCGCTCCGCCCTGGCCTCGCCTCCTCTCTGGAACATACTACAGTTCCCGAGGCATCCCAATGGGCCCCCCTCTGTGACCTTTCCCCGAGATGTCCCCCTCTCGTGTCTATCGTGGCCTGCTGACTTCAATACTGCCGTACACTGCAGTTCTCCTTTTTCGCCAGCAGCCAGCACTATACCACTATACTAGTAACGAATTGGCTGTGTCGGGTGGTGACAGGTTTAACGACACATTTATATTTACGCAATCTAACCCAAAAACCTCTTATGGATAATGTTGGTCGCAAAAGGCTATGTGTTAAACGAAGCTTGAGGAAGAGAGGCACACGCAACTCATTGGTTCCAAACTCTACTGACACCTCTCCCATGCTCTGCTCTCCCGTCTGACTCCACTCCCTCGTCGTCACGTTGTCATATGACATTCATTACATCTCTCTTTTTGACATCAAACAACAACGGTCACTGCATCGTGCGCTTTCAGATGCGCTTCTACAGCCATCTGGAAGACTCTTCCTTCTGATATTTGGAAGCTACGGGAGCTATGCACTTTCAAATCGAGATTGACAAACTCTTTATTTTATAATAGCTTTTTTGTGTTTAGTTTGTTATCCTTCCTCCGCAACTCCAATTAGCACAATTGGCTCCGTACGGTCTGACAGAAGTTCACCATACATACATAATCATAAAAAACATCAACGTTAAATATAAGCAACCCTAAGTAACTAAGTAATACGAGGGAGCACCATCGCAGTGATTTCATTTATGAAATGTAACTTTATATTTAAAACTTAAACACATTCACAGGAATAATCGAGTGCTTGAGGGAGTGTGAATATATGTTGTAAGCACCACGCGAATGGCACTGTAACAGAACAGGGGTGGAACTACCCTCACTCTAATGCTGATGGTACTTTGAGATGCCCCCATACTTATCAAGGAGGCACGGTCCGTTCACCGGCCACCCAGCTCTCGTGCTGGTTATGGGTGCCTCATTGGTGTGTGGCCGAGGCATTCCTGCTGGCATCACCTCTGCTAAAGTGCTGGACAGCTGCTGACCAACAGGACCGGGCCTGCCTTGCAAGGACGCCCGTCGCAGTAAACACTTCCCTGGGCTTGCAATGAGGGGACCAGTGTCCTCTACCATGCCTTCAGTTGCACTGATGGGGTTTGGTGCAGGCGTTGCTGTCAGGTGCAGTCACATGGGAGCTTAGTGCGACCCAGGAAGCCATTGGCGCAAATTGAAGAACTTGTGAGCCTTGTCAGTGGATAATGGGCACGTCCCGCCTGTCTATTTCGGGCTAAAAACTTTTGTTCGTCACGTGCCCTTGACATAGGACCTTGGAGAATCATGCTGCCCTGCCACTATTCTCGACGTCCAAGGCTTGTCTCTGGGCAATGGTGCCACGTGGACTGGGTCTCTCGGGAGTAGAAGCTGCACGTCTAATATGGGTCTGACTTTATGCCAAAAGGGAGCTCGGGCCATCTGTATAATCCCCCCCCCCCCCCCCCCCAGGTGTGTTGAAGTTGGTGAGGAGGCTCGAAGATAGATTACCGTATCTAGAAGATAGACGTCACCACATGGCATACATTACAGCCTGCCAGGAGAAAGCGGTACAGCAAACATGCTCAATAATTTCACCTGCTCTGTCTGTATATGAAATAGAGTGTTGCCCCTCTCGCTTGCGTGGGTTTGCTTCCGGTGCTCAGGTTTCCTACCGCATGCGTAAACATTAATCAGCTGAAAAATAATATAGACAGGACTCCAGAGCTTGGAGGGGGGGTTGGTGCTGACTCACCGTGTGGGTGCTGCCTTCTGCATTATTATGGATCGTCTGTGGTTCCCTGCACCTCGAGTCGTTCTCGCTCTGCGAGGGTGAGCAAATAACTGTTCGCGGGGAGCGTACTGCAAGTTTAAATTACTGGAACGTGCAACGTGCACGGATGTCACGCACAGAGGCGCGAGAAACCACAGGCAGGCAGCAAAGAAGGCAGCCAGAATCCGCACCAACAATTGCCCTCAGCTCTGTGGTCCTAAATTGGGATGTTTTTCCAACTCCATTCGTTTGTAATAATGTTGGAGAAAAACCGGAGCACCCGGAGAAAACATACACGTGTCAGGGGAGAGGTAATACTCAATCCCCATACAGATGGATTCCAGACAGAAATCAACCCACTCGCTGTACCGACACACTCTGGCAAGCGAGGAGATGGTGACCTCGACAAACTCGGGTAGGAAGGGAGTTTCACAAATATGCATGATCCACCAAACCTGGCCTCCACAGTCCTGGATCATGAGCAGAACAACCACAAGCGCCGCGGAATAATAATGGCCTAGGCTACAGTTACGACAATTCATGACAAAAGGGTAGGGACCCACCTTGACTCATCTTCCACCAGATCCTTCAGATTCAGTCCCGTTCTGTCCTCAACCAGGTTCTTAAAGCAACTGTCACTCACTGCAACAACACCACACCACACGCACCAATTACACGGCACAATCGTTAGCGTCGCTGTGGAAAATATAGCAACAAAATAAATCAACAGACATTAACATCGCCTACACACATATGTCCCACCAAGTCAAAAAATATTAAGTATATTGTTTTTGTTCAAGGATAAGTGGCTCAGGGTCACCACATTTTCCACAGACCAAACCCGGGCACATTTCTCAATCATCGTCTATTGGAACTGTGTAGTCAAGTGCATTAAAGTTCAACAGCGCCAGATCTTGGAACAAAATCAATTCCTGCCACCCCACCATGGATGCCCAATTCCCAGACGGCCTGGGTGAAGCCCAAGTGAAGCCCAGGCTCAAGCCTGGACAGGTCACGACTCTAAGCTGAGTCAGAGCCACAACAAGGCACCCACCGCTAAGCACTCTTTGTTAGGCAATGTTTTTTGCATGTTGTGATTGACATCAATTAACCAGGTTAGATCCCATTAGGGTCATCTCCTTATAATTCTGTCTGTTATTTAACCCAATGACAGCTAATTGAGATTAATTATCTCTTTTTCCAAGGGAGGCTTGAAGTGCCAGTACAACTAAAATGTGGTCCAATCATAGTTTTTTTTAGTGTGGTGATTGTGGCAATGTGAATGAAAATTACGCCGATTCTGACGATTAACTTAATCATGACTTTGCTAATAATGAGGGCGATTTTAAAACTCGTGGATTGCATTCAATGTAATGATACTAACCAACACCGTTGAGACTAAGGGAGCCTTCACAGCGACGGTGTGCTACACTTCCACTCTACCAGAGCAGGCCACGGTGGCACCTCGGGCCACTCCAATAAGAAGAATAGTTTCAATAGCCAGAGTCAAAGTGATTTCCTGCTGATATAAGCATTGATGTGGCACTCATCCCGTGGTTCACAGCTTCAAGCCAGAGGTGGAAATTCCACAATCCTATGGTGGGGGGTGACTTTATCCATAGGACAACCACTGCTGACAAGCCCACAAAGTTGTACTCATTTAATGAATGACGGGCCAAGTCAACCCCCAAAATCAGGATTTGAACTCACAACCTTCCGCTTGCGAGCTGCTCCCTCTACCAATGAGCCACCTTGGCTGGGCACTTTGATATTATAGGAGATGTGAAGCACCAAGCAGAGTGTGCCTATGATTTTAAATTCGTTTCTTCTAAGTCGTGACGCTTTAGAGTCGCATCAGCAGTTCAGAATGCACGGCCTAGGCACAACCAAGAAGACTAACAGCGGTTTACTTGTGTGTCCCGTCCTCCTTTGGGACATCATTAAGGATCGCTGTTGTATTCAAACTTGCTGACATCGCAACTGTCACCACGTGAAGGTTTCACAGCAGTGGGAATTGCTGGCAGCTTTAATGAGGCCCTATTCGGCACAAAGCATGCCCAACGCATCACCCGATGGCTTGTCCACGTGGCACAGTGGTACTGCGAGTGGCTCGCAATCGAGGAAATCACTTTGACTCTTGACTTGAAACTGCACGCGGGTCACGACCTGCACCCGCAACCTCCCCAACATGGGCTACGCACAGTGCCTTTGTGCTCGCCCGTGCTCCGCTCTCACAGGGCCCCACGAGCTTGCCGTGGCCGAGGGCCACATGTTTGATACCCCTGCTACAGAGTAAGTAAATAAAAGCACATCTTGAAAGATGTTGTTGGCTTCTGATGAAAGGATGCACGCATTTTAAAATCGTGATACCAGAATATATGCATGTATCTTATAGAACTTATATTGCAAGTCAGAACCCCAGGACGTGCCTGTCAAGTAATTTTTTTTTTAAACGGAGCAGAATTCATATGGAAACATTTCAGGGCATTGGTGTCACCAACTGCGTGTGGTTTCTCTGTGCCCACTGTGCGATGGACATGCTGTAGAAACCTCTTAGTCTGGTCTCTGACCAAAACTGGATAACACATGAAGCAACGTAAAGAAGTAACTGCACGCAACTTTATTTTACATCCATGCACGTTATTAATAAGATGATATGCCATGCGTGCATAATGAAGGCATATTCATTCGTTTTTTAGTACTTTGCATACACACCGATCATGTCCTCCACCAGACAAGTGACTGCCGATGCATTTACTTGGAAGACTGCGCTGCGTAAGTATCGCACTCTTCCAAAAGTACCCAAAAATGTTTGATTAATAATGTCATGTCATATTTGTATTCCATGCCTGAAAACAAGCACTCATAGGCCTTGCAAAGTAAGAATAGGTTTCACCCTTCCTGGCAATAAAACAGGTGTTAAGATGTTAAAACACCAGATATAAACATTTTGCAAGGAATCAATTGATTCCTTTTGCAAGGAATCAATCAACTCCTCGGCCTAGCTTCAAAAACAACAAGTGTATCAATTTTGAACCTCATTTCAGAGTGCTCAATAATGATGCGCACGTTTACAGTTAGGCATCAAGTCGACTCTTTATACCAAAATGCAGCTCTCGAGCCCCCCTGGAGCATCATAGATTGTACATCACTCACTTGAGACCAGCTACATTGTTGTTGCGACTGTGCAAGGCCTGGTTATTGTATTAAGAACGGTATTTCCTAAGGGACACTTTTTCCTGCATAACAAACCATCTTTCAAACTATTTTCCTCAATATTCTTAAGGCATCGCGCAACCCCCATCACCGACGGCAAATGTGTCAAGTCTACAGCAGGATGTGAGCAAAGCCTGGAGCAACGGCAAGGTCTCCAACGCTGCCTACCCAGCGTCGTCCAACCACCGGCGAGCCTACGCTTGGGCGAGGTTCCAATGCATTTAACGACCCCCAGAGGATTTACACGATCAGCTGCACGGGTGAGAGAAGAGCTCTGGGTTGTATGCATCACAATTTATTTAGGTTCTCAGCAAACGATGAAGGGTGCTCCTGCAGAGGGACGAGCCGTCGACCAGGGGGTCCCGGGAAATCCTCTAAGCGCTGCCATAAAAAATATTCTGTGCTTGTGGAAACCAGACAGTCGAACCAAACAAAAACCTCTAACCAAAAAAAAGGTTTGAAGCGTTAATTTTTCCCAAACTGAAACGATTTTTTTTTATCCGGAATGACCGTATACAAATTTGAGATGTAGTTACCAATTTAAAACAGTTCAATAAATACATGTATATTGCGCTTTGCAAAAAAAAATTTGTAATTAGATCAAATATTTTTCATATTACACGGTATTTTTTTTCTTTTACGAGGGTTATTATTTATGACAGCACGCACACGTTGTGACGTCGCACGCACACGGCGTGATGTCACGCACACGTGGTGTGACATCACACACCGAGTTACACTGCACGCGTCGGGAATGGTGATGAGGCACGGGAGGTGCTGTGACTGTGAACGTCCTGCTCCCTTCACCCAGGGGCACTGTGATACACCCTCGTGAATGTGAGTGCCACCGTTCTGCGTGGCGTCTCTCCACTACCACCATCCCCACACACACCCTGGTGTATCTCTCATTTCCCTCCCGCATCACACTAAATGACCACCATTGGCAGGTGTTGCGGAGAACACGAGTCACAAAATAAAGAAAAGAGGAGACAATTTGCCTATTTAAACACATATCTGTCCCTGCACATTAAACTTCGTTTTTTTTTTTACACATTCCATCAGCCACCATCCCCTTTTGGTGAGTGAATTCAGATATTCAACATCACATCAGTCGAATCAAACTTGCTTAATCGCTCCAAGAAGGTCGTGTGACTTTTGGGATGTGTAAAAAAAGACTAAATAAAAGACACGCACACAAGCTCCTGCTGGAATGCAGCCACTCCTCCTCCTGCTTGCCTGCCCCCCTGCTATCCCTCAAGGCCCTCGCCCCGAGACACTCTCACCATGTACTTTATTGGCCTTCAAAAGAAACGCCTTGCTCTGCCTCTTACTGTTAGCGTCTCCATCTCCTCTGCGTGCTTCTCCTGATAATAGGAGAGTGAGTGTAGGTGTGGGAGAGTGAGTGCAGGTGTGGGAGTGACTGAAAGTTGTTAGTGGAGAGTGAGGGTTAATGGATCATAGAGATTTTTGAAACTCCAACCCCTGATGGGCTGTGAAGTGGCCAGGAGAAGGCAGTCGGGCAACTGGGCTCGTGAACTCGTCCGCCTGAAGTGGGCCGCTGGGAGTTATTCTCTCTTCTCCGTGTGTTTTCTTTCCTACAGGTATGTCTGTTCCCTCCCAGGCTGAATATCCAATTTTAAAGAGCCTTCTGAAAGAGAGTCTCAGTGAAGTCCTCCTGGATGATGATGGGTGATGATAACGATATGTGAATGTCGATAGCAAACTCTACGTTTTATTTTACCAGGTAAGATACACTGTGATGTATAGCTCTTTTCTCAGAAGTGACTTGGCCACAAATGATAGCCCTCAACGAAGTGGCTTATCATGTGGACATTTACAGCAGCCAAATACTCTAAACGTTTGTTTCTTAATGTGGAGGGAAAAACCGGAGGACCCAGAGATAAATCCACGCAACCACAGGGAGAACATGCAACCTTCAAACATACAACAGGCGTTAGGGTCGGGATCGAACCCACAACCTCCTGTGTTTTAGGCGAGGTAGTTAACATCTCGCCACCGTGGCAGCATAGAGAGAGAGAGACACAGCAAGTAATAAAGTGAGAGACTGTGGAGAGACGCATTGAGACACGGAGAGACTGAGGAAGAGATGGATAGAGCCACAGGGGGATAGAGATGCAGACACACGTAGGTCCACTGCGATGATGCTGCAATTGCCTTTCTACTCAAGTCCCTGTGTCTCACTCATTTATTCAGCATTTATGCTTAAACCGACAATGTTTAAAAAAAACACAAACAAAACATCTCGAATGGGTTTCAACCCATCCTCAGTGGGGGCACTGCGTCTGTGCCTAAACAGAGTGTTCCTCTTTCTCTCAGCGTCACCGCAGCATGAGCCTTTCCGTGCGTCTCTACATTACTCGGTGTGTGCTCCATTCCATTTGACAGTGACCACGGTGCTTCGGATC